TGGATTTACCCTACTCAAAATGGAGAGAGAGACTTTACACCCTCACCAAAATCTTTGACTTGCACTTCGTTTGAAAACTTGGCATATTCCTCTCACATTACAGCCGAATCTAACCCCTACCAAAACGCAGAGATGCTAGAAATGAGCAAGCCSCAGCTGTCAGCAGTGCTGTACCTGCCCCAGTATTACTTTGATATTTTCAATGAAAGAGCAGCCTCCTCCCCCAGCGGGGCTTCTGGCAGAAAGACCAGTTTGAAATATGTTTCACAAACAGGTATGCACTGTTTGGGGAGGAGGCTTTGAGGGACCCTGCAGCTCCTGAAGGGTTGGGGTTGCAAAATACAAGTAGGAGGACTTTCGTGAGTCCTACTGTACTACTTCTGTTAGTGCTGCAAAGCTCTTGCCTTCAGGAGTAGTTTAAAAATGCTGACTTTTGCACTGGAATGATGTGTGCTATAGCTATGGGCAAAGTGCAAGATTTACCGGCCAGTATTTTGGGGCCTATATTATGTAGCAGTTCCATAGCCTGACTCAAAGACCTACCCTTATTTGTAAAAGCTCTTTTAGAAGTTAAAAAATCAGTTAGAAAACAGATAGGTAAGTTCAACAGATGAGTGAAATACATTCCTTGTGTGTAACAATCTGTAGTATTCCTCTCTGTGAACTTACTGCTTCTCTGGACACCCCTAGCCAGGAAACACTGTGAAAATGAGTGTGGGACCATGTTTGACCTGGTCAATCAGCCAGTTCATGTCCCATGGGGGTGCTGTTCTTTCTCCCAGAGAAGCAGCATGGAGGCGTCACMTGCCTTCACTGTGGGGCATGACTTCAGGAGGAGAAGCAATTGCCTCCTCTAAACACCACCCTGCTCCTACTACCCTGTGCACCACTGTGCTGAGAGCTGCCTTCCTTGCCCTTGCTTGCACAGGAACAGCACTGACTTGTGGCCGCCGCGAGGGAAAGCCACGACGTCAAAGTGGGGTGAAGGGCTGCAGACGAGAGGGTGCAACAGCACAGGTCCCTTCTCGGGCGCTGCCGCTGCCATTTCTGATAACGGGGGCAGCCAGCTCCTCCGCTCATCCCTGCTTGGGAGAGCCATCCTTTAAAATCCCAGGCCAAATGCTCTTGGATGCATTAAGCAAATAAACGTAGGAAATTAAGAGCAACTGCTTTTTCAGCAGGGCAGTGGTTTGTGGCACTGTCTCTCCTCTTGTGCAATGTGAGCTTAACTTCTTTTGCTAATCACCATTTCTCCTTAAAAGCCAAGTAGCTGCAGTCAAAAACAGGCTGTCCTCAGTATCATCTAGGCTTTATACTGTGGCTTATCAGTATTGTTGTAACGTAGAGGAGCTGTGCTGTTGCAGAAAAAAAAGCAATTTACAGGGACTTTGGATAGTAAAAGCCATAACCAAGAAGAGAGAGAAGCGTTCAGGCCCAAAAAGGAGAAGCAAACAAATACAACATTGGATTTGTGCTYGGTGCCAGGGTTGCCAGCAGCAAGCCTTTAAAAGTGGGCTCTTTAGCYGTTACTGAAACCAAGCTTCCTAGCTGCTGCTTTGAGAAAGGCCTGTTCATTCAGAAATGTTTGACAAGTACCCTAAATCAGGAGCTATGGCATCACGCATTGCAAATGGCTCTCAGCCCACCCCGAGACACYCTTTAAGTCCCACCATGGTCCAGGCCGCAGRGCCAGGCCRGGCGGCTGCAGCRGGAGGCCATTTCCTGCTCCTAAGCCCCAAGGCCTGGATCTTGGCAGCCGCAGGGCCGCCCAGGGCACCACACGAGCCCCAGGAAYCTGCTCTCGGTGCCGCCTTGGAGCCGCGGCCTCCTCTGCGTGCAGGGCAAGGCCGGACCTGCCACCGGCTCCCGGAGCACCTCGCCGTGGGGAAGCAGGRAAACACCCAGAGCCGGCACCGCGGCTGGAAGAGAGGGCGGACGCTCCTCATCTCCCAGCTTTTCTGCTCGTGGAGGACGATTGCTCCAACTACGTGTGCTCAGAGAGCAAAGGGGCAAGCCGGAGGACGTCCTCTCTGTCCAAGGACAAGACCTGTCTTCGTGCAGGTCCCTGGAGGTGGTCAGGGCCTTAGAGCCACAGCAACAGACCCAGCAAGGGGGTTTTGGCAGAGCAGGGTAGTGGGGTAGGAATGTTGCCACGTCAAACTTAAAAATAATAAAAATATCTTGCATTGATTAGGGCTGAAAGAGTTCAAAACTCAAACCTTAATTGGTTTTCAGAATGGAACTTTTGTGTTTATTTTTGCCATTTCTGTTTATAATTCAGCTTGCACATCTACTTTTGAAATGCCAATACTACGCACATGTAAACATCACATAATGGAAAGTGATTAACTTTCAGTATCAGTACACTAATTTTTTTAAATAAAAGTGGTGCACAAAATATTAGTCCCCTTCTATTTTTACAAAACATCTTATAAAGTATTAATGTAAAATATATTTTTGACAAAAGAAAAAGTTTATTTGGAAAGCTTAAGGTCATTCTAGTTCATTAGTAACTTACAAATATAAATAAAATTCCAACCCATTTCTAGTGCTGAGAGGTACATATGAGACCAGAACAACTATAAGAAGTTTAAGTACATTTTATTAACAATGCATCCCTTTGATAAGATTACGCTTCAGGAGGCTTTTAATGCCCATAGACATGAACTGTACACACTATACAAAAAAAAAAAAATCAAGGTGGGCAATACCATTTTGGGACAAGCCTCTGTTTAAATTATACACAGCTCAATGCAATATTCTTACGGAAAATATATAAATACTTTTTCTTTCTATGTTACAGGTATACAATATAAATCAGATTTCAATGTCTGTTCAGTGACCTACAAACACTAGAACCTCCAAATACGTAGCAGCGTATTACTAAATAAAAAAAGACCACGTGGGACAGGGAGAATAAGTCTTGGTTTCCTCGATCCCTTCGCTCCTCAGAATGATTAATTTACATCATCTCTTGTAATGCAGTATTAGGGATTCTGACAGCCAATCTTGGAACAACTTTTCAATTCTATCTACCAAATGTCTGCCTTTCTCCCCTAAGACATTGCATCTTGTGCTAAAACAACCTATTCAGTGGCAAAATGGCATGTTACACTTTTTGGCATAAATTACATTTCTCAAATTAAATAGTGTATTTTACAAAGCAATTCAAGCAAAATGTGCAATTTCTGCATGCTGTGGCATTGCTATCCATCTATTTTACAAAAATAGTCCAAAGAAAATCCACATTCTTTACTGAACATATGAGTCTGTTGCAAACAAAAATATCCAGGGAACCAGAATTAGGAGTTAAACAAACAAAACAAAAACATCCGAAGAGCTGAGGGCTTCTAGCAAGATACAAACATGGTTTCTAGCATGTTCCCAAAGGTTTTATACAGTCTTCAGATTTTACTCTCACCTAGTATGCCTTTAATAAGCATATGGTAACAAAATAATAATAATAATAATGATAATAGGGGACCTATTTTCAATTACCTCGCAGCGAAGCTCCCTGTGCAGCTCTGCCAGGAACTGAGCGTCATGGGCTGACACTCATTCCCAGGATAACTCATTCCCAAGATAACAGGAGCTTCCTGAAGTCCAAAGGCCAAAGACCATGATCAAAACATTGACTATGAGGAAGCACCTGCTGTTTCATCTGTTCCCAGGCTTTAATTACTACCTCCCTCTGCAAATATTTCTAGATTAGGCTGCTCTCCTGTAGGCACCCGTGGGTCCTGGAGTTTTCTTAAGCTTCTCACTGCATATTACAATCCTCTCATTCAGGACCACTGCACATGCTCCAAAGCTGAGTGAATTCAGAAGATGAAAGGTCCTGGCATTGATGCCTAGTGAGTATTTTAGAAAGTTTATTGAATGTTGCTCACCTCAGCGTGCCAAGCCACTGTGCACTAAGCTACTGAAAACTATGCAGGTTTGAGGGGAAAAAAAGAAAAATCAGCAATGGCATCCGCAGGTAGGTATTTCCAGTCAAATAAGAAGAGTCAGATAGGAAAGTGACTCTCTTTCATGTGTAACACACCACGGGCGTAATACACACGGGCCTGTCGCRCTTCTCCAACCCCAAGCCATGTCAGTGAGAGTTTCCTGCATCCAGTATCTCTGAACCTGATGCCTGATGGAAAAGGTCTTTCTCTGTCTCAAAAAGGGCATTCAAACCATCCATCTCTGTCCTCTTCTACCCATGGAGGACAGAAATAGGCTCACCAGAGCCCAGTGTTTAGATTTCTGCCCTAAGCTGTCTCTGGTGGAGACAGTCCCTCTCCACTGACAGTGAAAAAGAGAATCAAGGAAGTTAGCCAGCTAATTTAGTAGACTATGTCCCATTAGGTTTAATAACTAGCATCTCTTTTCCCACAAAGGGTTTAACCCCAGACTTGTCTGAATGTTTTCTGTGCTAGCAGGTTTAATCATTCAGTCTTCTTTGCCACAGCAAACAAACTATACTTGCATATGGTCAAATTGAGCACCATATGCTTTACATCATTTATTCAACAGTATCACAAATTGTTAGGACTGGAAAAATGGAAAATTGATGGTCTACAAGCTTGCTACCCTTTCCAGGAAAAGTGGGAGGATTTTCTATTAAGTTTAATATGTGCAGACTTCTTTTAACTGTTTTCTTATAAAGTTTCATTATGAAGCAAAATAAAACCCTCAAATAACTTTGAAAGGGATATTTTAAAAAAGAAATTGATAAAACTAGAAATTCACAGTTTATAATTAGGCCAACACCAAATTCCTTCCTTTRCAATATCCCTTCATTTGTCAATTAAAGAGAAACATGAATGAGCTTAATGTAAATTAATTCTAGAAATGTTGTGTTATGTACAGCACGAACTTTATGTCCATTAYGCATATTTGTTGAAATCTACTGACACTCATAGAAATCACTTTTAGAAAGAAAATCATGCYTTACAACTGAATTTGCAGCAATTATTTGTCAAGTTTTGTCGTCATGGATCCCCACACAACTGAGTATTTCAGAACGGATACACATTTCAGGATGGAGAATCTTTTTAAAGTATACTGACATCTCCTTTGCTTACCTTTCTAATAATCAGAGGTCTTCCTACTGTCTTTTCTACATTAAGTGCTATGGATTAACTCTTAACAATTAACATGGGTGCTGGGTTTTTTTTCTTTAATACTAATGATAATACTTGCTTATTTTGCTTTAACTGCAGAAAAATAACATGGAGTTGTTTGATGTAGCCCTGTCTAGTTATTAAAACAAATCTGATACTCTATCCTAACTGAGGTAGTGTTTGAAACTACTGTATAAGATCTGCTAGTCCCATCCTTGGGGACACTACATTATTTCCTTTGGAGTTTACACCACTATTTGGTCTACTGTGATTGACATTTTGGTTTTACAGAAGCATTTACTTCTTACGACCAGAGAAGTCCAATAGTCACTGGTGGGTATGTTTTCAAAGCATTCCAAACACATTTCAATGCATAAATGTATTATTTGCGTCACCGACCATAGAAGAGTTGAATCAGTTTCTCTTTGCTCTTTCTTTCAGTGGGAACTCAGGAAAAGAAGACCTAGGAAACTAAACTTGACTGAGAGCAGCAACTTACAGATCTGCTTTACCAGCACCCGGCAGTATGCAGTGCATGTGAGAACTCAGTGAACTCGGTGATCTCTGCAAAGCAGTGCTCTTGTGGCAAGATGACATCTCCGCTAAGAGCAGATAAATCCTACATTTCAGTATGAATCATGTTATGTTTTTACTGGTTCACAGGCCTATTTATTGAAGTCTCCAGTAGCATAGCTAGTAAAATCAGGGTTATGAGTATTAGGAAGAATTCCACTTATCTTTATCTAAGTATTAATCTGACAATTATAAAAAAAATAGTGAGAGTGAGTGGATAAAAATAGATTCTACCTAGTACAGTCCAGCTGAATTATTCACCTATATTATCAAAAGGTAACCCTTTCTATTGCGGGCATTCTAACAAAGGTGGCCATGCTACTTATATATAGATTTGCATATATTTATACTACCGTTTTATAAAGGCTTCTGAATCTTTAGATACATGACAAGTGGTGAGGATAATTATTTCTTTAAGCTTGCACTCATTAATTTAACAACCTCTCTAGTGACATGATAAAGGCAACCATCTTCCCCTAACAGTCACTGCAATAGGTCTCAACGCCAACATAAATTTGTAAGTACTGCTGCTTTAAAATTTGGTTCTTAAGGCTTTTCACTACAATTTTTAGTACTATCTGGTGCTTGATCACTTGCAAATTGAAATTCAAGCAAACCTTAGATTTCTCAAAATATTGTTTCCATGGAGCATGGAAATTGCTCCTTTACTATTTCTTCTCACAAAGCAGCAATGATTAAATGTTTTTCAAGTTTAGTTGATACAATATTCATTTATCTGATAAAAATCATGCTTGTGAAAGGTTTTCAGCAAAGGCTATGACCAACATTCATACCATATGAGCATGAGTCAAAGAACTTCAAACGCAAGCATATCAATCAGGGAAAACAATTTGATTTCAGCATCTCAAGTTTAAATGATTTTGTTTGTTTGTTTGTTTTTGAATCAAACTGTAGTGAAAGTCCTTAACTAGTTCAGATAAAATACATATTTGTAAAGGCAATGAAACTGGAGAGACTGCTAATAAAGAGACTTATGACTATAGCAATATTAAAATAACTTAAAGTATGCCTTAGATTCACAAAGGCTTTTCTTGCTGTCTGAAGTTACAAACCCCCCAAATAGTGTTACGAACAGTACGAAAACTAACAGAGAAGGGCTAACATTAAAGCCCTGGTGTCCAGCTTACAGCACAGCTCCCCACTGCTGCCAATGGAATGCGCCCTCAGATACTCCGATTCCCAGTATCCAGGGGTTAAAGAGCAAGGCATCGTTCTGCTTCTCTGGAACAGATTCAAAAGTCAGTCATAAAAGATGTCTCTGCACGTTGTCCTATTTTTTATTTATGCTAAAAAATGAAATGAAAATTGGTGGAGGTGTTCAGTGCTCGGCTCTTGCATATACTGGTAATTGCTATTATTAAAACTATGGTAATGTTTAATAACTCCCCAAAGGGCTCAAAAGACTGGGGCAGTAATTGGTTGAGGAAAAGAAAGGTTTCAGTTCGCTCTTCTGGTACCAGTAGCTTCTGGAACAGTCTAGAAGATGATGCTCCAAACTATCACATCCAGTCAACTGGAGGTTGTTTGAGGATTTCAGCAAGTCCATATGTGACCCACTGGCTGAGACAGAGGTCAGGATTCAACCGACGCATCAATTACTGGTTGTTTTGTTGGAGTTGCTAGAACAGCCTCTGCTTCTTCGTGCATCTAAAAAAAAATATGGATGTCAGTTTTCCAAATATTTGTGCTGCCTTTAKATATTTCTCTAGAAAGACATAAAGTAGCTTCCTCCATGAAGCCATTCTGGGCATACTTTGGTACACTCAACTTACTTGTAAAAATTGTACATCTTGAAATAGCTCCTGAATGAACCTTCGAGACGGCAGGCGAAAGGTACAGTGTGCCAGCAAGTAGGACACCTCGGAGTAAAGGCATATGTCATCAAATGCTTGGGGATACTTCTCCTTAATTCTGATCAACAGGAAACAAAAAGGGTTTAAAATCTTGCACAGACTTCTGACATATATATTTCTTTAATTTTCAATTAAATTTGTGTACATTATTTTGTACTAAATTGCAGGAAATCTGTATTAACRAGACAGAACAAGCTACCCACTTTGAAAGTTGCATGTTGCATCTGAGAATACCTGCTCTTAAAATAATTGGTGTGAGAAGCAAACAGCGTATCAAAAAAGTGGCAGCCAAGCGTAGCCCAATATTTAAGTAACTASGGCAAAGATAACCTCATATTTGTTAGCATTTTTTAAACAGAGGATTTCTACATTTTAACAGTCATTTATCAGTTTCTAACAAAACCGGTCCAGAAGAACTTTATCATGTTTAATCCCTAGATTTATTTTTCTATATTTGTAACATGAGTTATTCTATAAATTGAGTCCAGTAGTTGTACTCCTGCTTAAAGCAGAGTGGTGTTCCTTAAGAAGCTACCTTCAGATTATTTTGGTTATCTGACATACTTTATCAGGCACAAAAAGGAGAACTAATCAATTATTCCTTCTTTTTCAAAGATACATCACATATTAGAGAGATCTAAATGATACGGGTATACATGCAAAGCTATATTCACCAAGATATCCAATCAGTACAGTTAAATTATGTTGTCAAAAAGAATGGGAAAGAATAAGACACTAAAGACAAAGCAGGAATATTAAAAGGAAAAGTTTTAAAAATACTCTTAATGACAATAAACTGCTCCTACTTGTTAATGCAAATACAGAACAGATGCTCCTAAGTGTATTACCACACTTACATCTGCTGTAAAGTTTAGGGCTGCACTAAAGTTAAAAGTCAGTTTGTACATTGTGTTTAACTGCTCTAATAACATACTGGAAAATCTGCTTGACAATTTTTAGAGTTGYTGGAAATAACGAAAACCTCTATAAGACCATAAGGGAACCAGAACAACTGCATGGTGCTAAAATTGTAATTAAGAAAAAGATAATCTAACTTACGTCAGGAGTCCAGTTTCATGGCCCTTAGTTCCTACAGAACTGCTCAAGTTGATTACTAAACGTAAGACCTCTTTGCGCAGCAGGATCCTACACACTGGTGTGTCATCTGGGATTGATTTCACTCCTTGAAAAATAAGTTCAATGGTATGAGATTTAACCAGAAGAGTTTTTGCATTACACTTATGTCAGATGAATGAGTTTCAGGGTTTTATATAAGTGCATAAATACACATGTGTGTGTGCATATATGTATGCTCGATATATATATATATATATATATATATTTAAATAGCAACAAATACTGCAATCAAACCTTAAAGGAATATATTATTTTTGTGAATTTTAACATGGTCATGTTTAAAAAAGTTAGTGGTATTCGGAAAGCTTTATTAGTGCTTCTGGAAAATATTTGGGAAAACTGAAGTCACTGTAAGATTCCATAACAGTGCTAAAGGATACTGTGAAATTATGTAGGGTTTTTTTTTTCTTTTTCTGTATAAGATGCTGCTAAAATCAACAACAAGCTACATATCAAGAAATTATGATAATGCAAAATATAAAGCATAGATTCAAAAAGAAGAAATAATTTTCTCTTTACAGAAATGCAAATTCTAATGTTTAATTTCTATTTATACTTCAAAGGTCTTTCATAAAAGAAAAACTTAAGGCACTTCTTTATTTTTTTTTAACCTACCAATACTAGGAATAAAAGACAATTTTATTGTAATGTATGATACAGGGTTCCCTAGCTTACCTGCAAAAATGCCATACAGCCTTGGGATTATAGTCTGAAAATACATTCTCCCATCTGTCCTTAACATAGACAATACTGCTGCCTTCACTGATAATGATTAGGGCACCAATGGGTTTTATCCGTTTGCTTGCAAGTAATGCACATTAGTTTGTTGCAGTAAGTATAAATTTAATGCTGTTTTTCCACAACACCTAAGAAAACACTTTAAGATATTCATAATTATGAATATGATATTCATAAAGCAAACTCACCTAGTACAAGCTCTGTACTCTTGGTGCTGCTAGCTGAACCATGGGACACTGCATCGCTACAGCCTGAAATTCCAGAAAATTTGGAGGAATGCACATCCAAGTGATTGTGTATGGCCTGCCCACACCAGTCAGAATATGGAATGTCTGAAAAATCTGACAGAAACAAAATGTTCCATCTCTGCTACTCATGCTTTTGCCTCATTTCAAATGCCTATCACAGTTAAGTGTGCAAGGCATTGATATGCTAAGCATGGTAACTGCTGGCACACTGGTTTTCATGCAATCCAGAAGGAAAAAGAAGAGAAAGAAGTCTCATGTTTCCTATCAGGATATATTAAAAAAAGAAAGAAAGAAAAAAAAAGAAGTACAAAGTAAATTCCCCTTCCCATAGGGAAGCAGATGCAGTTCCCATTTGGGTCATGAGCTGCTTCAAACAAATGGTAGAGAAAGAGCCTACAACAATTACAAAAGGCTGCCAGAAAACTGAACCCTGCCCTCATTTAACAGGTGTAAGAATGACAGTGTGTTAGTAATTGAATGCAGATTCCTGTAGTAAAATAGCAAGGGTTCCTATAAGGCAAAAATCAGGATTTTCATTCTTTTCAGTATGGGTCATTGTAAAAAGGCATGTAACTGCAAGCTCTGCAGAGCGGGCTCCAAGGAAAATGACCAAGCCAGCTGTGCATCATTCTATCTCCAAATCTAAAGCAAGAAAAAGACCAAACCCAGAAAATACTGMACAACTTCAATGGACTTTGCAAGGAGCTTTATTTCCTTCTTGTTTTAAGRTCTTGAAGTCACTTTTCGTTGGTCGGAAAGCAAGCCTCAATTTTCAGGACATTGATTTATGAGGATCAACTAAAGTTTAAAATTTCACATTCTRTAATTGCAAAAATATTGAGAACACTAGTGAAATATAGGAGAATATTAGGGAAAATTAATTTCACGGCAGTATAGTCAATAAGAAGAAACTACAAATTAATCTTTTTTAAAGATGAACATAATTCAAAATTTTTCTTCACGTGTGTCACACTTCCCCACAAGACAACACTAACCTGCACGACTGTATGAAGAGTTCACTTTGTTGTTTGGCTGATAACCCAGTATTTGAATGCAGACACAATAAAGGCAGTTCTCATCTGTGTGCTCCTGTAATCCGGTATCCTCTGTATTTTCTAGGAACTGAGAGGCATCTGAACGGCTGGTATTCATTATTTCTGTGAGACTGATTTGCTGTCGAAGCATCTGAAAAGGACTTTTGACAACATCACTTGTACCTGATGGAAGACCTGCAGATAAGCAATTCAATATCAGAAAAAAAACAAAACCAAACAACCAACAGTCACTATAMCATTATTTGAATTAAAGTTTCTCTTTTAAAGGCTGAGCCAAAAAAATCCAGATAACTGTTTTTGGAATGGTTAAGCTCCATTTTGTTAGCATTGTCAAAGTAAACACAGCATTTCAGTCCTAKCTTACTCTAAATGACAAACTATTGAAATGTGTACAGTTAAACCTATAACACACACATAGTAATAAGATATGTGGTAAAACCTGATGTTATTTCAACATTAGTAACAATCCTGTAATATTATGTTATGAATTTTCACACTATCAAATGAGATTAGTAAAAAAAATTCCAGATGTATATAAATGAGGTGTGCACAACTGAAACTAAAAACATATTATAAGAAACAGCAACGTAGTGTTGGTAATAGCAAGAAACCACCCAACTCAGAGGCAAACCTAAGGCATTTCAGTGACATGCTCTTTCCTGAGTGGAAAATACCAACAAACGGACTTCTGAACAAAGAAGAAGTTACCCTACACCAAAAATCACACACTTCAGAAACACACCTGCAGGAATTGAGCTTTATATACTACATTAACAAATAACAACAACAAATCACTAAGATGYATCTGTTTGGATGTTCTGTATGCTTGTGATGAYGTTCTAGATGAGTGAGAAGCATGACAACAACTATCCTGTACTACTCYAGAATCAGAATCAAGGATTCTTTTTTAGCTGTCCTACTAAAAATATACATATTGATGCCCTACATGCTCGATTACTCTGGAATAAAATGGAAGCGCATTCCAGAACAAGGCAGGCAATACACAACACTTGCAATTCTCTTGTACCACATTCCATCGCTTCTGCTCCTCTCAACTCTCACAGAAACATCATAGAAGGACAAAATTTCCTTTCTGAAATACACASCCAATGTTTTTATTGGTACCTCTAAATCCACATGTAATCAAAGTGGAGTCAAAATGTAACAGCTGAATATGTAGACAGCATTATACTTTCAACCTCTTCTTAAAATATGCTACTTGAATCCACTGTCACTTCCAGTGTTTGTTTAGCAATAGCTTATATCAAAAATATGCAGACTTTCTTTCTTAGTTTATTAGAGGTGGATTGTGTCATTGTGTTATGCTGCTTTCAAGCAGCATCCTATTTAACTATGTTGGAGTCAATGGTCTGAAAATCAGAAGACAGCTCTCAAAACAACAGCCAAAAATAGCATTTTTAAAAGCAAAAATATATTCCCCCCAACTCCTGAAATAACAAACATTTCAGTAAACAATGGAAAGATACAGAAGAGGACAAAAAATACCTCCAGCATCAGGTGCAAAGACCCGAGCTCCGCGATCATCAAATGGAGGTGTCGTTTTCTTCTGGAAATAAGGAGTTTCCTTTACCTGGAATGTTCAAATAAAAATTAAAATAAGCACAGATGATAATTGCAACAAAAGAAAATCACTTTAATCAGGACAACTGCAGGAGAGAGATGTAATTAGAGGTGGAAGCCAAGGATGGATCCCTGAATGCTAAAAAAAGCCAGTGAGAACGAAGTACATTTGTAAATGAGCACTTTCAAAGCAAGACTTACAAATACTCAGTAAATGGCAGCAGTGACAGGCTGTAAGGAAACCAGTGACCCTGAAATTCCTCTTCTGTCCCTGATCTGTCCCTGATCACTCCAAAGCACTGGAGAGGTCTCAGAACAGCAGAGCAAAAACAATGAAGAGTCATTCCAGGAAAAAAAAAAAAAAAAGAATTGAGGAAGAAAACTGAGGCAACAAAAACAGGCCACAAAGTCTGTGGAAGAGCAGCAAAAAAGAAATAGAGTAGTAATTGCACATAGGAGGAATGGAAGCAGGAAAGATAGAAGATCTTGCCTTGCCTTTGCTCTAGTCTGAGTAATTTTTGAGACAAGAAAGGAATTTAGGTTTGAAAAAAAGACCAAGTAAACCAAAGATAGAAAAGCCACTGATTTACTTTTGATATAGACAATGCCCTGTTTGTGATGGTTAATCCTCATAATGTGTCACTGTCTAGTTACTAAGTAGAAAGAGGAAGAGAACTGATATGACACTGAGATAAGCTATTTTAACTTATATGCATCTCTGATACTAAACAATGTAATTCAAGCATAGTAAAAAATACGTGAATATATCATGAGAACATGGTAGCAGGAGACTTTACTTGTACAAATATATATTGCACGGTTGACTAGTGCATGCGTGTACTAGTTGGCTAAACAGATATTTAGAAATGTCCACAAACTAATGTGAATTTTAGCATAAGAACTGTCAACTAAAACCCTTATAAAAGTATATTTATTTTACCAACATTTAACACTTCTCTAACCTATTCTATTCCACTATTTGCTAACATCACATACACAACACAAAATAGAGTGAAGCTTTTCTGTAAACAGAGCTAGAGAAGCTGCTCATGTTCTTCCAAACACAATTTAAGTATCGCAGCATAATTTTCTTCTTTTTGCAATCTTATCTATTTGGACAAAAATGCCACAGTTTGTCACTGCTCAGGAGGCAAATGCATTAAATTATTACATAAATACCTGAAATATTTCATTGATATCCACTGGGAGCGCAAGGCCAATGTAATCATCGGAGCTACCATACGTAGCGTTAGAAACCATGGAGCGAACGGAGGAGGATCGCTGCAGTGTGTTTTGGTTTATAGGGCTTAATAAGTCTTCTTTATCTAACGAAGCATAACTTAAAGCTTTCATGAACCTGTAACATTAAGAGAGGAAAGCACAATCTTTGTAAATTATGCATTTTGGCACGTTACAAACAAGGACTGCTGACAAGTCTATCCTCATCTTCCCATTGTAAAACCCAGACCCTGTACTCTGTCAAAACTTGCTGCTCTGGCAAATTAGAGCTATTTAGGCTCATTTCTTTAGTTCTGTGMATTGTACTGCCTCATGCCGTATTTCATGGTTTGGCAGTTCCTCAGTGAAAATTTTCTTATGATCTTTTCTTTGAAAATCCCGGGATGAGACTTTGATGAATAGTAGGATGAGACTTTTGCTTAAGGGGTAGCCACCCCTGTAAAGAAAAAGGAAAAAATGTCACCAACTTACCAATCTATGAGAATTTACAAGCCATACATGCCCATGGTAATGAAACTGATCTTTCAATAAATACGTATTTTTTTTATAGAGAAAAGGTCTTGGTTTCAATGTCCTTGAAGTCTAATAGTACTGTTCCAAATTTTAAAGACCTAGCAAGTGGAGATGTGTGCCATCGAATGCATAAAAACAGATCTCTTAAGTAATTATTTCTCTCGGATTACAATGTTCAKCTTGCTGGGCACTGTGCACAGAGAAACAGTATGATTTGTTTTACACCTCAAGACTTTGAAACTGGGACACGGGAACTTTGAAACGCTCCACATGACCAGTTAAACTTCGGATCATCAGCTCAGACCCAACCATACACAGCACCCAAGCTTGCCGTGACTGTCTTCCTACAAGGAGCCACTTTTCACTGGCAAGGACTAGAAGCACTAACATGCTCCAAAATCACRTCTCCCTATAGGTTGCTCAGCTCCCCAATCAGTTCAGTGTTCAGCGGGCCAGCTCAAACCCTTGCATGAAACCTCTGCTATGCAAGATCACGAACAGCTAAGCCCTGGGAATACCCTTAGTGCTACRTTGCAGGAAAATCCACCGCACTAAGGCTGCTTTGCCCATCAGGAACACAATCCCCAAGGATGGTACAACACCATGACAGACACAACTTATCTCTACAGCCATGTATGCCAAACCYATCTTCTCAAGGTTACACAGAACAGGGTAAGAAACAGTGCTTCCATTTTCCATCATCCAGGCCAGCACAGCTTACCTGCTGAATTGTCCTTAATTAAATCAAGGCAGGTAGCCTGTTTCTACCTTAGCTAAAAAAGCAAAAGTTTTAAAAAAACCCACTATCTTTCATAATCTCTATTCAGAATGACATGAAAATAACAATTTTATATCATAAGGAAAGAAAATTAGGTCTAAATCCAGACATTTGTTTTCTGTACAATAAGGAGGTGACTCACACACTTCTCCCCTTTCTCCCACATGGGAAGTTCAGGCTTCTCACTGGCCTATCAGTCCCCTACTACCTGCGCTGCCTTCAGTGAAGTTAGCAGTTGCCAGGCAGCGGCTGTCACTTTTAGCTGAAACTGGAAAAAAATTCTTAGCCAAATGAGAACAAACTGGAAGATAAGCTCTTACCGGCTCGGGGTTAGCCGGGAGTCCAGGCTGCCAGACTTCATGGTGATAGTGTCAGTGAACAGCACGTCCTTGGCTGGAGATGCTAGAGCTTCTGAATGGGACAGTGAGGGATGCATCCTCTGCTGCTGCAAGCGCTTTAGTGTAGCGTAGCCAAAGGCATCTCGAGAACTTGTATAGCTAAAGTTATAGTCAGCAAGAATTTTTATGGTAGCAAGAGAAGGAGCTTTAAGAGACTGGGCTCTTCGAGGAAGTGTATGAGAAGACCCTGGTGGTACCAAGGACACAGAATTTGATTTTGAGAGAGGCAGGTGGTTAGACTGTGGTGTCGAACAGTGACTCGGCTTAACTGTTTTTGTGCTAACCACAGTGCTCAAACTCCCACAGTCAGTGTCTACGTTTGTAGTGTCCACACCTACAGTCTCCCTAGAAGGGCTAGAGCTCATTGAGCTTATGCCACTTGTTGTGGTATCTGTATTAAAACTCAAGCTACGACTCTTGAAATGTGTTTGCGTGGAACCATCTCCTATCAGCCTTTCTCTGCTTGTGTTCTCCCGGTGATTTTCGTTTCCAAGACCTTTTGGCAGCTTCAAATCATTTTCTCCAATACTCGGGGTACTATCAGTATCTTCTGTGTGTTTACTTCCAACAAAAGAAGTTTCTAATCGTAGAGTCTGGATTTTAGGAACTCTGAAAGCAGGGTTGAACTCATCCCCAGGAGTAAAGTCGAGGCTACTGGAAGGTTCTGTTACAGTACGATTTCGCCTCAGGCCTGATTTACTGTCAGATGATGCCAGTTTTCCTCCTTTTGGATCACTGCTACTTCTGTGCTTTTTATTAGGTAGAGTAAGCGAGTTTAAAATGCGATTTTTCACAAATCTGCTAGAAGAAAAAAATGGAAAGGGACTACGGTCCTTGTCCTTTGAAGGTCCAGGTCTGTCATAAAATATTTGTTCTGCATCTTCAGTAATATCTAGGAAGAACGTACTAGTGGAAGTACTGCCAAAACGGTCATCCTCCATGATAAACATACCTGAAATTATAGACAAAATACTTGTTACTGAAATCAAACATTTCTTCAAAGGGTATGAACTAAGTTACAGCAGGACAAGTTATTCTAAAGAGCCAAAATTACAGCTTATGTGTTCTGTTGTAACTTTCAAATTAACATGTTTCTAGCAGACCCTCGTACAGTAAATTAARTCTCTTCAGGGATACTTGACCTGAAGATTCCACTGCTTCAAAAATCAAAGCCACACTGGCTTATTTGAGTGCAGATCTCCAGCAGTTGGGATAAAAACTGATGATGCACTCCTTTAATGATACCTAAATATTTATGAATATAAATTTCAAACATCAATTGCAACATTAAAATATATTAGGTACAAAAAGAGTATTAAGAATATAAACATATAATACGGTATACAAATAATGTTCTCTAAATATCYGAGTACATAAAAGCAAATGTATCTTTATACTCAGATATGGAGCTTTCTGTGGGGTAKTAGAGCAAGCTGCCTTGTGTTGACCTCACAAGTAGTGATTTACCCTAACACTAAAAGCTCTGACCCTCAAACCAAACGCAAATTGCTCTGCTCTCTTCCCTCACACCCTTCTTTCCTTCATTAGCACCTCTAGGCTATCTGCTTTAACCTCACCTTGCCACAATGTTGGCAAGAACATTAAAACACATTTTTTTACTTACTTGAAGGTGCAGATTCACTTTCACTATTATGCCTGGAACTAGTGGACTCGGAGTTCAAGCTAAGAGTGCTGGGTATAGAAGAAAGTTCATTGCAGAGCTGCTCCATGTCATCAGGGACCACCGGCCAAGGCTGTCTGCGGCTGTGCCTCACTGCATCCCAGTTGTGATGTTTTAAAATGTCACATCCTTGTTTGGTTTTGGCAATTAAACCAAGCACGTAGACACAGGTGCTATATTCAATGTACATATAGAAAAAAAGAGCAGCAATATAGCATCTATTTTAACTAAATTTTTTGTTCTAAAAGGAACAGTTTCAAAACAATTCAGTAGAAACTTCAGAAAGTTGCCAAGCAGCTTTTTGTACCTGACTTTTTTTAAGTCAATGGAAGCTTAAATAATACACGAAAATATCTGCAAATATATTGTTCRCAAATAAACCTTAATTATCAGAAAAGCCCAGACACATATAATTGAAGCATATATTATTTTAAAAGACAAACCTAAAAGCAGGAGCAGCATTAGACAAAAATTATCTACTTATGCTTTTATACTTCTCCAAAAGATTTGAAAGTAACAGTGAATAACAATGACAGAATAATAAATTGATTGCAAGAGTGATATAGGTAGTCCATACTTTGATTGCCCGAGAGAGAAAAAGGAAAGCTGTATCTTTTTTTTAATAGCTTATTTGCCCTATTGGTTGTAACCTTCTTACACAATTCTGACATTCAAAATTTGTTATTGATGATTTTCAGTAACTAATAGAACAATGATTTMAAAATAAGTGGTAACATTAAATAAGTGGCAACATTATATTCAYATATCTTTAAAAAGTCTATTTGAAAACCCACTGGAATATTTTCTATAAGTTATGATGAAAATCAAATGCACTTACCCTCTAACGGAGAGAACCTCGCAATGCTGGGCAAGTGCCATAATATCAGGGATTACATTCTCCTCTTGAAGCAAGTTAAGACCCCAATTTGATGATCCAATATTGCCCTGGAACAAAACAGTTTGCAAGATATGCTCAAATTTGGTGTGACCTGCATCACTGCTGAACAAAAAGCCTTTCACTTTCGTACATTCAAGCCACATCCTCTCAACGCTATTAAAAATTTGAAATCTGTCCTTTTACTATTTCCTATTTGTCCAAATTCAATAAAATTACTCAGGACACTGTGCATAATACCTAGAGTTGGTTACTGTTAACTACTATGGAGCGCTCAGCTTCTTAGTCCCGCTGCAGCCTGCAGTAAGTCTCTTCCTGCAAAGGCATTTCATTACATGCCTACAATGACTTCCACTAACAGTCACCTTGAAAAAATGTTTCAAAACAAACTGTGGAAGACAGGAAAGAGAATAGACAAATGCTTGAGGTGTCAAAACAACTTTACAAGTACAGCTTTGAATGGCACAGACACKAGGTTTCCCCTGTTACAGAACTACCACAGTTGTCATGATATGCACACGCATCAATGAGGTGGCCAGCTTTCTTCCAGAAACACAGAATTTAGAAGTGTGACTATGTTAAAAATAAGAAAGGAGGCACAAAACTGGTACAAATTAATAGAATTTCATCTGAAAGTCCAGCTAGGATACAGAGATTTGGAAAATCATATTCTTTTTATGACAACCCCCCCCGAATAACTGTTTTAAGAGAGTTTTGCTTAGTTATTTCAGTTATCAGAAAGTCACAACAGAACTGAAACAGCTGCAACTTAGTAAATTTGACTATTACTCACCAAAGCCCAAAGTGCTGCTTTAAGCTGCTTAATTCCTTCCCACTTATCTAGCATTGGGGAACGAACAGTGTAACTGAGATCTGGAACAATACTCTAAAGGAAAGAAAAAAAAATATTATTTCATACACTTTCATGCACTTATTTCATAAWGAAAAGCAGACTTCAGTGAAACAAGTTCACATGCAGTTTTATTAAGTGTAAAGCACTAATTTAAAGTATGAACCCTACCAGAAACAGAGATAGTTCTAGCACAAAGGGCATAAATCATTAGTAATTGAAATGAGGTAAAACTTAACTACTGACTACATCAGGTTTAATTCAGAATTAAAAAAAAAGAAAAGAAAAAAGGAAAGATTCATTAGATTAACTCACTACAATAGGAAAAGTGCTCCCTTGAAATTCTCAATTATAGACAATTTAATACATCATTTTGTAAATTAATTTTGAAAGTCAATTTATTTAAACAAAGAACTGTTTTTCTTAGTTTTTATAATGAATAGCAAGAATTTTTTAAATTTAACCTCTCTGTACTTTTTTTTTCTTTAACATTTATAAACAATAGCCACATTCGACAATACTCATTACAGAATTCACACATTTGTATTTGGAAAGAAAAGTTATTTCTACTATTGAGTTGCTTGTCATTCTAATGTTTTGTCACCCATTTTAAGAAAAACATTGCAAAGTATTTCTCTAATATTACAGTTTTAGGAAGGAATTTTACATGCAAATAGATGGCAAAAGCCTGACTTCACAAATTTTTGTTCATGTAATTTGATTTCTTATAGTTTAAGACTTTCATACTTTATCTATTGTGCAGTGACCRTTTAAGTGCTGATACCTTTTAAAATAAGTGTATTTTAAAAGTATTACAGTTCTCCTKAACTATAAAAGGCATTAATAGTTAATAATCTGACCTGAGATTCCAACAAATGGCAGCCTGTTTTATGGTGCACCAGTTGGCCATAAAGGTGAATGGGCAGGTAGACATGTGGTCGCTGTAATCTGGTAGAAAGAAGTTATATGATTTCATAGCAATCAAGACATTTACTTTTTAAATAAGGTAATGACCTTATGGTGTATTTCCTCTGAGTTTTAAGGGAAAGAAAAATCTTTTGGGGAGTGTTTACCTTTGGTTGCTCCGACGAACATAATTGTCACCATCAACAGGTTTGCGATACGTGGTAAGTGCTTCATTAAGTTGTTCTTCAATTAGCTCAACGTATTTTAAATTATATTCCTAAAAGATGTCGGAGAGATTGATACAGCACAGTTAAATAGCTCATGGTTTTATAGTACTGTACTTTACAAGGAAAGAATAAAACAAAGGGCTCCTTTATGAAGGCTGGTTTTCTAAATGCTCTAAAGGCAGACTCACCAAAATTAGTGCGCTTCATAAATACAATTTTTTTTTTTCCACACAATCTACAATTAGTTCCATAATTATTTCAGGATATTTGTCAAAGAGGAAGGGTGAGGTAAGGGAAATATCTCTCTCCTTTTTCTAACTTGAATGATCTAAACAGAATGTCATGCATTTCAGTATTCCTACATAAGTGATAAMTTATATATAACTTTTTCACGGAATTGTCTAATAGTCAACAGGAATACACCGTTTTAATGGCATTCCTGCCTCAACAAAGCACACATATGATCAAAGTAATATATTAATGGTTTTATTTTAAGTCATAAGCATGATATGTTTTTCTTGGTGAGATTTGTGTTTCTGTTTACTTCCTAAAAGCATTGAATGGAGGAATTTTTATGATATCTAAATCTAGATTAGGAAAAAACAGGGGTGAGAGCTGTCTTGAAAAGCAGTACCCTCTCTGCAGGGTTTTAGATACATTTTTACATAACAAACTGTTCAGGAAATTCTGTAAGCCACTGSCATCTCTAAGTTTTTGCTGGAGTAGCAAAACTCAGTAAAAAGCCTGGTTAAGTCAAAAGCATGTATGTACAGAACAGCTATGAAACAAAGTTTCTGTCGACCTTTTCAACAAAACCATAAATCACTGAAGCAGTAAATGTACTAGCAATAGCAATAAACATGTGTGAACGTACAATATTTTGCACAGCCTTTGACCTCCTAAACCTTTGTATTCACATCCTTCCTACTTTTAAATTTCAAGTGAATGAACACTTTATATTACCTTTTGCCACTTCTCCATTTGCTTTGTTACGTAGCCTCTTTCATTTAAATAGGAAAACCCCTTTGGAATGGACAGAAATCTGAAAAGTAACATTAGAGAGTCAGCATTCCACTGAAAATCAATTTATGTAATTTGAATTTTTTTTATTGTTTTCCCAGATTAAAGTGAAACGGCATAGCCAACATTTACCTTAGGAGTAGAAGTAAACCTTTATCTCCAAGATGAGAAAGAGCTGGTTTCATTTGGATAAGAGCATGAAGATTGGCCTAAAATAAAAATGCATATTGAATATCTGAACACAAGATATCTCTGAACACTACAGCAGTAAGGTAACAAGTCTTTCATGAAGGGAATATCAAACAGTACTATGCTTTCCTAACATTAGCCAATTTAGGCACTTATTAAAATTGTATTCCTTTACAATAAAAAAAAAATCTATCAAAATACCTGACATAGTATTTATAAGTAGTCACAATCTACATGTCTGATCATTCTTGTCATTAATATTGCAGTCTCTTTAGCAAGAAGCAAGTATACTATTATGGAAGCCATCAGTAATAAGAGAATCACGGAATAGTTGAGGTTGGAAGGGATCTCTCGAGATCATCTAGTCCAACCCTCCTGCTCAAGCAGGGTCAGCTATAGCATGTCATCCAGGAGATTAAGAAAGCAAACCGCCTGTAGCTTACTGCATGCCTCTACTTGGRTATATCCATATATCTCTATATCAATCTATATAATATCTATTTATATAGACACAGATACACACATCTAGACAGCTATAGGTGATAACAAAATGAGGTTGAAAATGTAAACGATGCTCACCTTGTCTTCACATGCCTCATCTAGAATATCAAGTGCCTCTGAAGAAATAGTTTTATTTTTATCATGTAGCTGGGTCACCAGTAACTCGATGCCCCAGTTGCTGAAGAACTCCACATTTGCTCTCAGTAATACTCGTAAGTGTTTTGTTGCATATAACCTGCAGCTCTGCAAGAATCAAGGAATGCAAGAATTAAGCTTATTTTGAATGGGAGAAAAATAGCTAATGCTATTGAGGATTYTTTAGTTAAAAATACATTTTCAATTACAGTATTTTATAGCATCTAACTRTGATACCCACTTCAGGCATTAAAACTATAGTATATTAGAGAGCTATTTCTCTCTTACTAAATAGTGAATTTAAGTCTGAGGTCACAAGCAACCTGGTCATAASAAGTCTCATCAGAAGCCTTTACCAGTTAGTCACTCACTGTGATGGTATCRTATTGAAAGTCAGCAGCATATGAAGGAGAAATGTCTTTTTAAGCAGCCTTTACAACCTCRTGCACTTTCATATATGTAATGGCTTGAAAAACACCTCGATTAACTAGCAAACCTTAGAACTCATGGGGGGATTTATTTTAATAAACAGTAAATTGCCTGCAGATAATTATGAAATGATGAACCAGCAGAAAATAATAAAATAAATCCAACCTTACAACCTTACAAACACAAAAGGCCCCAAACCAGTTCTTTCAACTCAAGGACAAGATCTTATAAGCTAATATCAGCTAGCTCTGTGGGACCTCCGATGTGGGGCTGCAAAAAACCTGCTTTTCAACCTACTCCAAGTCTTCAAACAAAGCCACGGCCTCCGTGAAATAAGAACACTTAAATGTACTTCCCAAACCAGAYGAGCAAAATCCAGCACTGGGTCTCCAGCTGAAGTGACATTCTGAAATAATTTTCTATTTGAAAAGAACTGAAAGGAAAACCAGTGAAGAAGATATCTGAGGAAACAGACACTCCTACCCTATGCACAGGGTGCACAGAAGCTGAAGACAATTTCCTGTACCAACTGCCAGGAGTTCCTCCTGTTTACTGGTACCATCCCCATGTGTGATGCAGCAAGCCATACGTCAGCACAGTACATTCACCTWATTACATATGGCTCAGTGTCGGTGCCAGAAGACATAGGACACGTCTAGCACCTTAAACCCTTAAACTCATGTCTACCACCTAAAACGGGTGGCTAAGGGAAAATGTTAGACCTTGAAGTGCAGCAGCTGAGAAGACCACAGTGTCTATTCTGCTATTTCTACCACGAACTGGCAGCAGGCAGCTGAGCAGCACTCCCTTCCTCCAGCACGGTGCTCCAGAGCCCATACGAGGCCTGTTGAGGCGCTCACTGAGCGTTCGCTGCTCAAGCGGGCTCTGGAAACCTCTTAGCTACATTCAGCCACCCCAAAACCAACTCTCTCCTYCTAGTGCTACAGTGGCTGCAGAAGTGACTTCTCATTTAGCCTGAGATGCTCATTAACAGCCAGAGAACTAACCTAAATTACAGTTCTGAGCAGCTGTAAGAGGTGTCTGAGTTTGTAGCCAAGGTTAATCCTAAAATATGAGCAACTTCAGCTCTTCAAATGAACCGGAACTAGTAATAAAATATTCCATTAGAAAAAAAAAACTCATAAAATTAGAATTTCTGAAGGGAAGAATCCTTACTGGAAAACATTTGTTTTTCTCCTACAAGCACAGCTTTTTAAAAGTTAGGTCAWTTTTTTATTTATTTGCTTACTTTTCTTTTATAAACTAATATAATTCCTTCCATAGTCCATTCTAATTTTGCTTTTCTCTTTTAGATCAAAAAACAAGATATTTCCTTATGAATTCCAGGAATCACAAGCAGGGTGACTGGTTCAATAAAATATTTGTTTTATCCACCCCATAACATTCTCAAGAGATACTACTGAGGAAGTCAAGCACGGCCTTTTCGTTGTTCTCCACTATCCTGATAGTAAAAGATTCATATACATTTCTGATTAAAAAAAGCTTTTTAAAAAAATATATATATTTCTTCAATTTATTGTCATAAATCTCTAACATTGATAGGAGGTACTGCAGGATACAGAATCAGGGTACAATCTCACCCACTGCAACTAGATGTCCTATCAAAGTCTAGCTGGTAGGATTTAAATGATAACAGACCTCAGCCATGGATTTGCCTAGAGATCCCTTGACTTTGCAACCAGTGCCAATACTAAGGACTGTTGACCCAAACCAAGGCATGTAAAAGACAGGTTACCCTTTCACTTAGGGAATCAGCCAGTGTTAGTGCTTGAGAAGATGCATCACAGTTATTTCTATCTTTCATATTTCAATACACTGCCAAAAATAACCACTTCGTATCATCTCCAGGCAGTATCAATGCAAGACTGGAAAGTGAAACTCAGAAGCTGTAACATAGATTGAGACTTTAAAACATCAGGGACATGGTAAGGTACCASTGTCTGGCAAGAAGCACCTCTACCTTTAAAATAATTATTTAAGCTGCAAAATTTGAGTTCTTAAACTCCTGAATCTGTGGAATGTGTCTCAGTTTTTTCCAAGGTGTTCATCCGTTAAGATTTGGCACTGAATACTGGAGGTAGTACCACTGAGGTCTATTAAACTTGATCTGTGATCCCCTTTTCAGGACGCTCAACTGTCTGGAACAGAATCAGATAACCCTGGGGGCTCTACAAGGGTGCTGGAGAGCAAAGTCTATCCCATTTGTATCCAAAAGACAAGAAATGTTCACTATGCATTGCTCATAGTGTTGAGCTGCACACAGTTGTACTTGAGGTTCTGAGGAAATTATTACAGCATGTCTAGAGTTACTTCTAATTGCTCAGTGGTTGCACTTGGAAGCAAGTGAAATGCTGGCATGCTGTTCCCCCTCATGCAGCCTCTTTTATGAGAGGAAGAATTGCTGGTGGGTGTATGTGAGGGTGGTATTTATTGACACAAAGTCTCAATGGAAACAGCTAAATGAAGTTCCACTGTCTAAASCTCTCTTAATTGGCCACCGTCTAACAGGAGCTTTGAAGTCTAATAAAGACACAGACATGTGTCCTYGCAACCTGTTATTTTCTACTTGCCTGCTCAGACTAGGCATAACACACCTATGGAGAAAGAATGCCAGAGTCATCATTTCATTAAAAAAAACCTACTTTAAAATGTAGTCAGTAATGAACTTCACTCTCTTCTTTCAATGAGTTATTCCTKCAACATGAGCTATCTCCATTACTTTCAGATTCTTTTCCCTCTTACATTCATTCCAGTATATATTTCTGCCTTGTCCAGTGGACAGAATAGCTCTCCCCAATGAACTAGGAAGCTCCTTTTCATAGTTAAGATTGCAGCTTATTTAATTCTTATTTATCTGACTTCAMTGCTTGCTGGTCTACCATGCAACACCTGAATGATTTAGGGGTTCAGCAGCTTCCCTTCCTGATGCTTTGAGTATTATCTGCACTCATCACCTTTGATTTGGAAGTTCCAAACCCAGCACCTACTTCACAGCCATCTGTCACTCTAGGAACTATAGCACCTCCACGTTCTGCACAACCATCTCAATCGTTACTAGAAGAGTATCTACCACTACAAGTTAATGTCAGAAATGCACATTTCTTCCTGTGAAAACAATGGTCCCACTACTGATTTAGGATGTGCATTGATGTAGACAATAACATTGTCTCGTTTACATTTGATATATGCATTTACATTTCATGCATTCATTTTAAGACTTTAACCACTCTCATACACGACAGAAACTTGTTCAAATGAATTAATGTCTTGAGTACAAAGACAATACAATAGGTGAAGTCCCTTAGCAAGCTCATAGCATCTAAGTTGGATGAGTAGGAGTTACATTTCTCTAAATAAAAAACAAAAACCTTTCTGAATATATAATATTTTCAAAATAAAATCACTCATCTTGAACCAAATAAATGTGTAATTGAAAACAACCACAGAATGTATATTAATTTGAACTTACATCAGTAGCTGCTGTTAGGATTTTAGAAAGGATGACTCTTGCTAATCCGTCTCTGCTGTAATCCAAACTGGAAACAGTCAGTTTTAATAAATGATCCTGGTTCTTCAGAGAACAAAGATTAAGAAGACTGTATGTRGGAGGGAAAAAGAGAGTATTAGTAACTGAGCCCACTTATTATTTATTCAATCAACATTAAATTTCAGAGAAGTACTCTGAATCAGCCTTGCATTTTTATAATGCAGATGAATACAAATCACATTCTCATACAAAACAGAGCGACTGAGTTGCCGCAGATGTTCACAGAGTGAGTGGAGGGGCAGAACAATACTCTGGACAGCAATAGGAAGTGCAGAATAGGACACCTAAACTTACATTTCTTACAGATGTTTCACAACAACTTTGTCAAGATGACTGAATTAATGTTTTTGAGTACAAAAATAAATGCTCAGAAAGCTTTGTAAACACTTCTGCATTACAAAATATTCTGTGTACAGAGTTTGACTTAGGGTAGTAYTAATGAAACAAAAATAGAGTGATTCAGCTTACAAGTTTTATAACGATTAATATCTGCAAGCACAATTCAAAAGAACAACACTCACCATTGAAACACATTACATTTTTCTAGCATTTTCACTCCATGAGGGTGACAAGAGAGAGTACCAAAAAACAGAAAGTAGTGCTGACTAAGGGTGTTCAATAACCCATTATTTTGAAGACTACGTTCAGGTTTCATTCCTGACGACGAATTGAGCCAATGCACAATATCTTTAACCAACTCCTCCAGGTAACTTTGTCCATCCTAACAAAAGGAAGAGTAATAGCATTTACTAATAGCAAAACTGGCTCCCTCTTCTTTACTGAAATGCATTCCTGTAAGTTACTTAAAACATAAAAACACAATAAAGATACAGAATAAAAGTGCTGGTTGACAAATATTATTCAAAATAACAAAAAAGGCTCAAGACAAATAAAATGAGTTTAGCTTGCAGGCATTTTAGGACCCATTCTATTCTTTCCAAGAAAAGGATCATTTAATGACATTTTTCTTTTGCCCTGTGGCGTAAAAATATTAATAGGGCAGAAGAAAGGAGTTAGAGAAAGGAAGGATACCACACCAGGAAATAAATTATATTTAATATAACCGTACTTATTGTAAAACCTCTACTTAAACATGGTAGCCCTCCCAGACTCTCACCYAGATACTTCAGCATTTTAAGTTGTATTTCTTAATTAGGCTGATCATCTTAGGTTTAACAGTTGGAGTTTTACTAGTGAAGTCTTTACTAAAATTAAGATTTTTTCCTCTAAGTGGCGTGTGGCAGAATTACTAGTTCTATCTCCAATCTTRCAGCTGGAAATTTCTCACCTCTTCTGATTCAAGAAGAAACTCAGTAAACTGACAACCCACCACGGTGAGTTGCTTAGCCTTGGCATAGTCCAGATCCAGGTTGGCATAAAGTTTACTGCTAGGCTTGTAAAAATACAGCAGCCTCCTTACAAACCTATGGAAAGTAAAAGAGAAGCTGTTATTTTTCACTTTCAATTACAACGAATCCCTAACAGTAGAAAATGATACTGGTATAAAAGATGGTTTATCAGTAAATTTGCTCACACTTAATAATTTTCAAAGTTATCAAAGAAAGTAGCAGGTATCAATAGTAAGTTCATTCACAGAGGATTTTCGGGACGCAGCTGTACTGAATGTGGTACACAAAGCTTTCCTAGGCCAGAAAAACTGTTACCAGTATCCAAGACCAAACACAGGACTAATTATAAAGAAAATTTGTGAAGATTACCTCAGATTTTGTGAAATGAAAAATATTTGATTCTAAGTTACTACTAAATATAAGCATTATATATTTAGCATATTTCTATTTTGCATGTGTGTGCATATATATATATATGTGTATATGTCTACGGGTATATACATAGTGATAACACATATAGACCCATGTATCTGCACATACCCCCATAACTGCATCTCAAAAATAACGGAAGCCTAGGAATAACTACAGCTCTTCTTTGAGGTAATCAGTAATAGAACTTACACTAAAAATATCTAGAAAATGACTACTGCAGACATAAGATCATAAACTAACAATAAAAATAACTTACAAAACCACAAAACAAGATAYATCTTTTGCATTTTTAAAAAATGTAAAAAAAAGAGAAAAATCTTTAAAAAAAGATTGTGTGGTCAGAGATAATTGGAGTTTCATTTATCATAATCAAACAAGGATTTCACAGCCATTAAAGCATATAACCTGCAACCTGCATAAAGGATCAATTAATTGCCTAAGTCATCCACCGATCAAGCATCAGGTTTTCCAGATTTATCTGGCATTAAATCACATAGCTGCTGAACAACACTCGTGCACACCACAAGGTAACAGTGTGCATGTGTGCATGCATCTAGGTGTGTGCACACACGTGTAGCATGGCCAGGTTTGCCAACATTCCTTTGGAGAAGCAATGTTATTAACTACAGGATCTGGAAAATAACCCTTTACCACACGGATTAGTGGTTAACGATCACATAAGGGGGAAAAAAAACAGGAAAAAATGCAAAATTAAATTATGACTGATTACAAAAGGACTACCATTTATGCTAGAATACTATATAAAATTAGCCTGATTACTTTTTATAAAAATTAAAAATGAAGCAGCGTGGAACCTTTCAGGATATATTTTAGCTTTAGTTTTTTTCCTTAAAAAYTCACAGAGAAATAGCTTTCCATGCCTTCAATGAAAGAACTAGTCTTCAAAACAAYTTCCTGAAATGCATGCTAAGTATCATATTCAAGAACTAATTATCACATATGCACAAAGATGATTAAGATTAAAAGTGTTATAATATTAAGAGATTGGAAAAGAATCAAAGTTGTTTTTTGWTTGGTTTTCCAAAATCACTTGTACTTCCCAAACTTGCTATAATTCCTGCTTAGGGAACAGATGCACAGAAGAAAAAGAAAAAAACAAAAAACCAACCACCACCAAAACCTCACAATAAATCTTGAAGACCTGCTTATTTAAAGTAAGTTTTGCTGCCTAATTATCTAAAAATTTGTTTTTAAAGCTTATCTATATATTAAGTTTTAGAAATGTGACATATCCAAGGAATAGTTAATCGTAGTATTAAAAAGTTGTTCCAAATTTCTTTCTTCAAAGGATGTCTATGTATTTTTACATACCTGTGCAATTGTTCATCTTTATAGTTCCTTAGATTTACATTTGGCCACTAGAAAAACAGCAAATATAGCATTATATGAAACTTGTACATCAGCCCTTGATTTGTCACTAATATTTATTCGCTTCTATTACAGTCAAATTCACCTAATAATTAGAAGTATATGCTTTCTTGCTTTTAATATTAGCTATTAAAAAAAAAACCCACAACTTATTTTATTGAAAAGCCCACACTCTTCTTGCACTTCTTGGGAAGTGCTTTATTTTTTCCAGAGAAGGACAGGGAATACCGGTTGTGTGCTACGCATAGACAACCACGCTTCTAATGAAAATACCAAACTATGACATGCTAATGAAAAATAAACAATTATGCTCAGTATCTCCTCTGCAAATACAAAGCAATTTTGAATACTCATGCAAAAAGGAAGCTGTTTGTTTTCACTATTAATAGTTTTCACTATTTCACTCAGATGAGTTCTGAAAAACTCATTATTCTGTTATAGTTCACTTAAATATTCCTTATTAAAATGATATTTAAACTCAGCTTGACAATTTAAAAACTGTTTCAAATAAGAGCAAATTAAGCTGTGCCAGATGTTTCTGGACCTTTCCTTTCTCCATACTAAATTTTCTATTTTTACAGCTGTTATCTATGATTTCGGTTTTGTTTTTCTTGCTATTAGTATCTTCTTTGAAAGAGCAGGAAAGGGTGCACCAAACATGTTGTTTTTTCTTACCCAAGAAATACAGTTCTACACTGCAAATTGGCATACAAATATTCTAAAGACAGATAGTGCAACAGTTAATGATTGGTGAAGCTGGCCCACTGATAACGTTGACTCCATGAGTGTCAGAAAAAAACACAAAGCTCTAACTGTCGACAAAGTGAATCCTTCCATCCCGACAGCTGCTACTTTTGCTGCTTTTCTTGCAGCTTAGACATGAAGCTGAGCAAGTAAAAAAAAGGCTGTAAGGGATCAAAGAAAACATGAAACTGTGAGGGGGTAGGAAAGCTGCTGTTCAATGGCCATAACGTTTTGACTGAGYGAGGAGAAGATACGTTGCCACATGAGATAATGAAAGCCAAACATCAGAAACTGGATCCTGCTCATTCTGGGGCAAAAGATGGACCACTCTGATAAACTGCACAACACCAGCGTGCACTGAGATAATGTTAACAGGAACGGAAGTGGTTAGACTTTAACCAGAAAGCACAATAACTTCTCATTCTGAAAGACGGAAGTCTCATTTGGAGATATGTAAAATTGTTTGATAGGTCACTAGAAAACGTACTGCAGGAATGTCTTAGATACGAGGGAAACTGGCAGCYTGACTGAGCAGCTCTTCTGTTTCTAAATTTCACGAAAGGGGGAGGAAAAAAACATCCTTTGACAAAGTACTACACAGATTAGCTGTGAGATCCTGAGAAATAGTTTCTTGATAATGTATTTAATGCAGAATCAAAAGCAGAAATATCTTTGTTTAATGTAAATCTAGCAATATTGCCAAAAGTCTATGAACAAGTGAAATTTGGCAGAGCAAGAAATTATTGTCATAGTCCTTTATATTAAATAAATTCTTGCTTTCTCAAGTTTATCAATCCTTGAGAAAATACATATAGAAATAAATTTCATGTATTTTTATATCATCTTGATTATGAAAGTGTCTCTTGCTCAAAAAAGACATAGTCCTCTAAAAGTGATGCAAAGAACACAGACATRTTGATGCCTTTACTAGCATATTATGCCTAACATATTATGTAACTTTAAAACCATTATATCACTTCATAAAATATATGTGTTTGTATGCAAAGTGGTATATAAAGCTTAATGTAAGCTTATTAAGGAAGCTGATGGTTTAATTAGAGTATTTTTGTATGTAATTTAGGGCTGCATATGAAAGAGTGTAAGAGCACTAATTAAATCTATGACATGGTAATTTTCTGAAATAAAACAGATTATGGTGTATAACACTGTATTATTAATAGGGCTCACATGCAAAATGAACACTATAATTTTTAAACAGCTTCATAAAATTAGAACCATGCACTTTCCTTGCTCACCTTCAATATGGTCCCTATCAGATTCCAATTCCACTCTAGATTCTCTTTATGATTAAGAACCTGGCTGTCTCGAAGATTCATTACAAGGGCTTCTTCTGTATCCTGTAATATCAACATGAAAATACACAGTAAGTTTCCTTGCACTATTTTCCAGTACTGTCACTGCATATACGACTATTCAYGTAGTGTTCACTGATGGTAATACCTTTAAAATAAAGATGTCTTTCTGCACACGGTATTGATCCCTTTTTTGGTGGGTGGAGATTGCTTTCTGAATTATGTGGTCTAAATGGAGACTGTAAGGTTTAGGTCCTCTCTTCTTCATCTCATGGAAGCGTTTTAAGCAATTGAGTGCAGCACTTGCTCGTCTAACAGAAAAATATTATAAGCAGTATTGCATGACTGTTACACAAATAAATAACAGCTTTGCTAAATCTTGAGTTTAACAGGCATAGCTCAAGTACGAATCAACCAACAAGAAGCAATGATGGAAGAAAAAAAAAAAAAAAAAGAAAAAAAGGCTTTTCTAGATATAGGTTTTGATGCAGGTATACTTCTCAGTCTTATGCTTGGGAAAGTAAATTCTCTTTTCTAGACAGTAGTAAGGGTATCAGTATTATATTTTCTGCTCTTCAAATCCAAACTGAGGATTTACTGAGGGACAACACAGAAGAAAAATTCCAGGAAAAGATAGGAAATGACAAAAAAAGACATTGGACAATGACAGAATTGGCTACTTGCAAAACAGTGCTAGCAGAAAAAAAAACTTGCAAAACCTACCACCAAAAATTTTTAGATTTCTGAATTTCAGAATCATTACTGTAAATATGATGTATTTTTTGAATCTTGCACTGGAAACGGCACTTCTTTAATAAAGGACAAAAAAGCATTTCCATGTACATTCCTACTGCAATGAAGACAGCAGTGGTTTCAACCACCAAGAAACAGGTAATGTAGATTTGTGCCCAGTTGTGGTAAATACACATCTTGGGGGTGGGAGAAGGAGGTGTATATATTTAATCTCTAAGTATAATTTAGCATTCTTACAGTCTTTTCTCTTTCACGATGTCAAACGATGCTGCCATATTCATTAGCGTCGGTAAGCAGTGCAGGTGATGGCTGTGGGAATGAGGAAGGATTGTGTTTGCCTAAAACRAACAAGCCAAAAAAGTACAGTAACTTATCACAACATTTTTAGTTATCTGTAAGAAACATTTGAAGTGTCTATACTTCTCGCAAAACTTTCAAAAACGCACAACATCAAAATCACTTTCTCTATAAATATGACAGCAATAATCAAACATCAGATTTTTAACTTCTCAAATTCATCAGTCTAAAATACAGCAGAAACTAATTTAAGAATCTTAGGACACAGACTTGGTATGACAGCATTCTAGTTTATGCATTGGCTGTTATTAAAGTAATAGTATGGAATAACATAGAATCATAATGGTTGGAAAAAACCTTTAAGATCATCAAGTCCATTCACAATCCCATCACCACCAGCCCTACTAAACCACTGCCCCAAGGGCCTCATGTACATATTTCTTCAACACTGCCAAGTGAAGTAGTAGTAAATAAACAAAACAAATATAAAAGTAGTAAAAACAATTTTTATTGTATTCGGTTGCAATTATTCTTTTAAATACTGAAAAGCATAACAAAATACAAAAGTAATTATTTAAATCAATGATATTCATTTAATACATTCAACAACCAATGATTCTGCACAGAAAAATAATATTCTTGTGACTATCTGATGAACTCAATCACATAACTTTCTAAGTGAATAGTTGATGTACTGGTTTTGTTTTGAAAAATACTGTGTTATTATTTATAGCTTTCAAATATATTTGCACAAAGAGAAATATTTATTATGCACTTTTGTTAAAACTAACTAAAGTATAGATATTTGCTCAAAATTTTGAAAAAGAGTCTTATCTCACACCAGGGAATGATCTCCTCATAAAACAGGAGACGTACCATGCTTGCAGCATACCCMAAACTCAGTGCATCTAGTAACTCTCATACAAATGTATCCCCGAAGCAAAAGACAACCTAATCACAGAACTCTTCTGTACAAGCCACTCTTGCCTTCAGGAAAGGATGTGATAAAGCACCATTCATAAGAAAGGCATGTAGCCACTTTATACATCACTAATACATTCTCAACAAGCTGAAGGCGGCCGTTTTCATATACTGCTGGGCTTGAAAACAATAAAAGCACCTCTATATCGTAATAATTTGGGCTCTGCTCACAAGTTCTGCTCTTTGAGCAGGTAGTTTCCATTCATTTGTTTTGAGCAGGCTACAGAGATCAGAGTAAGACAAATACAGTGRAACGATGTTACTGATCTCCTCTCATCTTCAACTGTTGAAATGAGAATAAACCCTCAAACAATGGAAAGATAACGAGTTGTTTGGATGCTGCATAAAGGAAGAAGAAAATCCACTGCAAGAGAGGAGAGGCTGGAAGTGAGGTACCTCAGGCTCCCCTGTGCTATGTAGGAGCTGCCAAAAACACTGCTAAAAAAAAGTGTTCCAGCAAGCAGAAGCTGCCTGGATGAATAATACAAAGTGYTCCAGAAAAGATAGATAAATAAATAAATAAATTCTATCCTTCTAAATAGAAAGATGAACATCCTGCCACAAGGCTGCTAACACTGAAATAAAAGCAAAAAGCAACTACAGTCCTCCTTTTCCCAAACACAGTAATGGAGCAGTGGCTTTGCATGACTCCACATTAAARCTAGAACTAGCTTCTGAAGCAAGGATGAGCACCAGGATGAGCTGGGGATCACATCTGGGGCAGAAGCCCTCTCTTTCAGTCCTGCCTTCCTAGCTGCATCATGCTATTTTTAAAATATGCAGTGCCATATGATGTACAACAAGACAGTATATTATTTTTATAGAAAGGGGATGGCCCCAGGTTGCAACAGATACATTCAAGGCTATAACCAGAAACATCAACTTACAGGGAGCTACTAATACGACTTATTCTAAGCAGAAAGTCTCTACTCACCATATGCAAAAGTTCTCCTAATAGGATAGTTGCTCTAACAGATACATGGTCATCACTACTGGTAATCACTTCAACCAGTCCCTTCAAAATAAAGGTTAAAAAAATTACAGTATTTAATGTACATCCTCTTATTTTAATTTTTATGGGAAAAAATAAGAAGTCATTAATTACCTCTAGAAGTCCATTGGTAATAAAAGCTGAAAGCACTAAAGCCAAATAATTATCCATGAGGTCAGGCCTAAGGAGAAGAAGTATGGAAACATTTTAGGAAGTACATTGTGTCTATTGTATCTGCAAGGGAATAATTATTTTATCAACACAMAAAAAAATAGTTTGGAGGCTGTTCATGAAATACTCACCTTGACCTGGCTCGATGGGGTAATATCGTTTTAGCTTCAGCAGCTACAAAGCCATCAGAAAGTCTCCAACAGTCCTGAAATCTGCTTGGATCTATTTAAAAAAATATGGAGCATGATAATTAACACACTGCATGAGCTGCATTTCATAGTGTCATTTTAAAGAGTCACCATTACAGAAATAGCTCTTATATCAACAATAACCGCCATTCTCGATTTCAAAACATAGAAAAATTTACATCAAAAGGGACCCCTGCAAGTTATCTAATCCACACTCCTGTGCAAAGCAAGGCTAACTTTGAAATTAGGACAACCCAGATAAAATTGCCAAATTCATACATACATTCATCTTGTTTAAAAAAAAAAAAAGTGCTTATCTCTACAAAGTAACATAGCAAGTTTGCAAGAAAGAATGATTTATTTTGACTGCAAACAGATGATTAAGCTTTTTCATAATTAATCTTATGACAYAGACATTTAAAACCAGACTCTACAGAATTCCTGGAACAGCTAAGGCTAAGACTTGCTCCCCTGTAGCTCGTGTTTTTGTACTGTGCAGCAAAGGGAGAGGATTCGGTTTTTTGGTTGCAAAGGAGTAATTCTAAAAGTAAAAGCCTGACTTTGCTAAATACAAAGACACGAAACTGGTGCAAGTTTGCCTTAGGAAAGCTAAGTGTGCTGAAGCAGAGCAGAAAGAGCTAGCACATACACAACATATAGAAACCATTTTTTTTTCTTTTGTGACACAGATCTAATACTTCATGATCAAAGCAGGCTACTTTGTTGCAACGTAATTAGTCTTCTGCATTTATTAAACTCCATTACACCTACTACATCAAACTTAAAATTGATGCAGGGAGGATGTCAGAAGAAAATCAGACTTCCAGTAGTTGCATCTTCAATGCCCAATAGTTGACAAAGAACTTGAAATAGGGCCTGAGAACATCCGAAGAACTAGGTGATCAAGCAGTTAATATTGGCATTATCTACAGTATGAAGGAAACACTCATAGAGTAAGTGCTCTTAGATGAATGCTTTTGTGAACTGATTCTAAATACTTACCTACACTGAGAAGTGCCTCAATAAATTCTTCAGCAACAACTGGCAGAGGAAGGCGAAATATATCATAAAGAACCTCAAGCAGACCACGCTACAAGATAAGAAGAAAGTAGTAGTGATTTTTTTGATTTATAAAAATTGTCTTCTTCCATTAAACTATTAAGAAATTGAATATTGAAGTGCACATTTCTACAAACTGTTAAAATCAGTGCATTTGTTTTGTGGTTTTTCTTTTGGGAGGAGAGGAGGCTACAATATACTTATTTTCATAGAATCACAGAATCCTTAAGGTTGGATGGGACCTCAAGTGGTCATCCAGTCCAACGCCCCYGCACAGGCAGGGTCACCTAAAGCAGGGGGCACAGGGCTGCATCCAAGCAAGATGTTCATCTCCAGAGATTTCCATTTTCATAATCTAAAGGAGTTTAGAGAAAAAAGGAGAAGGCAWGGAGCTTGCTTACTTCCAAGGCGTGCTTTATTAATCACCATGAATGTTAAAGAAATTTGAGGTACYTGAATTACACCAATTGAAAAAGTTACTAAGTTAAAGCATAATTTCTCCTTACTGATATTTTTCAACACTGCTCAAAACAAAACCCTCAATTCTTTCTACATTCAGCAGAATCTCCTCTATCCACATGCTTTCTGCAGATTTTCTAATTAAAATAGTACAGAAGAAAATCCAAAACCAGCATCTTGGATGTTACCGCCTTATATCCTGCTATCACAATCAAATACAGACAGACCAAAYACAATTTCTACCATGAATGAGAGTGAAAGTGCAGATTGCTCTTCTATACTTCATTAGGAAACCCTGAGAAATGTTAATGATTATTCAATCATTCATTCAGCATTACTTAATATGCAAATAAAAATCAAACTAATGCATAGTTGTGTACTAGAAATACAAATAGTTTCATCATCTTGTCTATCACAGGTTATGAAGTAAGATACTGGCAGATTTCCTGAGTGGGCAGATTGTTTTTCTTTTTATGTTTTGCCACCAACTTTTTAATTTAGCCAGTTACTTGAAAGAAGCATTTTTCTCACATTGCAGATTTAAACTCATCATAACTGCAGCTACTTTGTACTTGCTTTGACTTGGGGCCATAACAGAAATTCACTTACGTGCCTGTGATCTGGTCCGTCTCCGTATGGACTTTTCCTACTACTGCTTTTAGTCACTAAATACCTGCAGGTTGGACACAATCCAGTGCCACATGCTCTAGGTGACCCTGCGTGTGCAGGGAGGTTGGACTAGATGATCTCTACAGGTCCCTTCCAACCTTAAGGATTCTATGATCGGAGATGTCCGAGATTGCCACCATACAAAGTACGAATGAGAAACTAAACTTAAAACCAAGAACAAATGCTGGAAGCTATTAAACTTTTTTCCTGGTAGTATCAACTTCATAGTGCCTTTTTTTTATTCTTTTTTAAATTCCTCTTAAATCACAGTGGAATTTCTACAGAATGAGCTCAAGGTCTACATAAAATAATAAGCAACAGACTGAAAAACCAAAAACATAACACTACTTTTCTTGACAGCTTATCAACTATTTTAGTGGCCTAACATTTGAGTATATATCAATTTTTTAMTATGTTTCTGTCTCATATATAGCCACTTTTCCCCCTCTCCCTCTCTTCTCTTTCACACAGAATGTGCTTTTAGWCTCATTTTACAGATAAGGTGCTAGATATAGAAAAAACAAATGACTTGATTAAGCAAGTCATTAACAGACAAAATTTACAATGGCGGGGGAAAGTAAACTTCAAGCTAGTTGCCTTATAARTACAGCAAGTGTTTAAACCACTAGATGGTTAAAAATTTAAGAACGTAACTAAAATATGCAATATTATTCATAGTTCATTATTAAATATTTACCACTTACCCGTATTTCCATATTTGGTATGCAAAGTACCCCAATCAGAGACTGAATCCCAGAATTCCCAGGCTTGCACAAACTRATAATACCTAGAAAATATTAAATATATAACATTCCTTCACACACACACACACAAAAAAAAAGCTTGAGATACATTGTTAAATTTGATTTTCATAGAATGAATGCGAATACAAATGACAAATGACAATTACAAACATTTTTCACCTTTCTAATGTCATCTCCTTTCTAATCAGTGGTATATATTTAATATAAAACTTTATAATTATAAAACASTGTTCATTCAATAACACTTATTGTGTTATAATACAATATAATATAATAACAGTGCAATAGTCTACATTGACAAAGCTGACAGTAGAGTCAGTTAAGGCAAACTATTTATGTATTCTCCTATCAAAAAATGCCAGTCTATCAGCACCTTCCTACAATTGAGAAGACAGATATAGAGAGACAGATTATATGCTTAAATAAACTAAAACCTTACCTGCCCATGAGCGGAATGCTGCCACTATTCCCATTTTACTGGCTAGGAACCGGGCTTCTCTGTCCTCCCTGTTATTAAAAACACAAATGCCACAATATGTAGTTACATTACCACAAGTGTTACTAGCACAGMAATAGTTAACTGAGATTTTTAGACAGGAAATGAAACCTAAAGTAAGAAAAAAATTTAATGTGCCTGTATTGCATGTAACACTGCTGAGGTGCCTATATGTATGTATAGTATGTAGGCACACATCCAAAGATTAGCATTTTAGGTATTGTTACTTTTTCTGCAGTTTCTGTTGTAAGAGGATCACAAAGTAAACACCCTGAGCTGGTCRGATGAATCACCCAAGCTTCCCTGGACAGTGTGAGTTCAGGGGGGACCAAAAGCTTTGGACCTTGCTTCAGCTACCTAGACCTAAGCAGCAACTGCCATTTGATAAGATAGAATCAGAGGATTCACGTAGAAACCAGACCTCAGGAAGGTCTCTTCGCTCAAACTCCTGCACAATGCAGGTGTCCGCAATGACACCACTGGACAGGGTTACTCGAGGTTTTACACAGTTGTGCAGTCTTCATACTTGGACATTTCATAGACCTAACCTCTCTGGACAACCTGTTCCAATGCTTGACTGTGCTCCTGAGACATGTTTTGTTTTTCTCCTCCTCCAACTTATCTTTGCTGTTTCTTGTTTGCTGAAGTTGTTCCTGTTTCAAAACATCTCTCTTGAGTTAAGGTGCCCAAAACCAAACAAAGTGGTCTAGATAAGGTCTAGTAAGTGCTAAGAGGGAAATCAGGCTGTTGATACAGCCTAAATTGCTGCTATTCTTTTTTTCCTTGCTAAAGATTTACTGTTTGCAAGACACTTGCAAGACATTTACTGTTTTCCCAACCAGYTAGGCCCCAAAGTCTGCCCACTACCAGCTTCTAGGCACAGTGTGCCTCAGGATCCACTGACCTGAGCCTCACCACCCAACCCCTGAACACAGAAGCAGCCCTACTGCAACCCCCTTGGAGATATCTAAAGAAACCCATGTCTGAAGTAAAAATAAAAATAATGGCAATAATGATAATTTAATTAAAAAAAAAAAAATAGAGAGAAAAAGGATGAAACTGTATGTTCCGTTTTTAACTTTAGAAGTTAAACAATATACTGGGAAGTTACATCCTGAGCTGCTATCACATGCAGCTTTAAGAAGTTTCATTCCAATTCATTGCTTTTACTTTGTCACTCGTTTYAGTACAATATCATGAACATAACTGGTAGCACGAGCACAGGAGCACTAACACTTACTTGAGTTGTCCTTCTGCTGTGTCTGGGTTATGCCTGTAGTGAAAATCTGTGTAAGGAGCTAAAATTCGCTAAATAAAAGAAAGACATGCATTACTTTCACATRACAATACAGTTAATGGGTCTTGCCCCTTCCTCGTCCCACTCCAATCTGTCATTTATTTCTGCTTTATAAATAATTATGCTCTTAGCCTAAACTCTTGCATTTTAAACATTTTATATTAACACAGAGGGTGAAACACAAAGTGAAAATTAAATACTTTAATTAGTAACATAACGTGCTAATTTCTGTCACTAAACAAAAAAAAAGGGCACCCACCTCTAATTCTACATCTGCTCGCACATACTGTCGGGTCTTTGGATGATTAATGAGGTGCAAAACTGTAGTTATCAGAGCCTCATTTATTCGGCTTAGCTGACAATCAATCACATTTTTCAAGATGGTGCTTAAACCTCCTCGAAGAGCTACTACCTCGGGATTCTGAAGTGCTRAAACAGATGAAAAAAAGAAGACACGTCACTGCACTGAATGATAGGAAAGAATACAATCCAGGGTGCCCACTATAACAAATACAAAATGAGTAGAAGTCATAGTCTATATAGTACAGGTATCTTTCTTTTTTTCTTGAACACTGCTGACATGTAGATAAAGCTTTTACTGGCACTGACCGAATTAATGTTAAATCAAGATTCTGGATTATATTTGTCTGTAACCAAAATGTTATTATTCAGTACAACCATTTCTTAGTAAATTCCTGGCCAAGTGGCTATAAAGTAGTCTGCATTTCAGCACAACAATGTACTTCACTGGACTGACAGAATCAAAGTAATTATAATGGTTAAAAAAAAAGAAAAAAAGGAAAAGAAATATATTTCTTTAAAATTTGAACTTTTGTTAGTCATTTCTCACTAACACAAAACTGACCTTAAAAATCTGTAACCATATAGGAGTATACACATTAAGCATAAACCCATCCACATCTTTACACACATGTAGATAGTGACTTCCATAGGCTAATCACAGTACCACCCATTTTAAAAATTTTAAAGAAACGTGTTTAGTAGTTCTCCGTACCTTTAACGGCMCTTCATGTATGGTATTCTCAATTCATTACCTTTTATAAACTACTACTTTATTTTCTCTTTATAAAGAAAAGATAAAATACCCTAACACCTCTGCTGTATTATTAGTAATTACATTTAGGAAATGTACATTAAAACATTTAACAACCACCTCATTAGTTACTGACCACATGCCCTTTATTATTTGTATAAAGCTGTTCAATGGGAACACGCAGAAGAAAAACTTAGAAAACTGACAACAATCCTGTCAAAAATGTTCTTAATTAGCTTCCAGACATCTCACCTAGTTCACAGATAATGGCTATACAAGCTCGCACCATGCGATCTCTTTCTTGAAGACCATCGTTTCCAACTGCTATCAAAGAGTTCGTTATAGAACTGGGGAACAGTGAAGCATTCACAGTGATCATCTGCCAAAAAATGTAAAAAATAAAAATAAATAGGTCAACTTTCTTCATGATATTTCTCTACATATATCACTGATACTGTTTCCYAGATAAAACAAGTTAATATGTAGAACAGTATTTTATATCACACAAATCTTCAAAAACATTCCTTCTGTTCTTAAAAGTCTTGAATTTACTGTTTTCCTCTTGGTTTAGGTTTTTAGTTTTGTCTTATTTTACCATAATGAGAAAGGATAAAAAGGATACCTATTCCAGGAAGAACCATTGCTACCTTTTTCAGATRTATTTCCAAGAATTTATTTATCATCAGAGAACGACAAACAGTAGATAAGAAACTCTTTCAGAAGGCAAACTCACACTGCATCATTGATTCTTCAAGACCTATTCCTGGCTAGTTAATAGTTGAGTGGACTTTTTTCTTCATACAGTTCCTTATGCACAGGAGGGGAGACTGTGCTGCAGGCTACACAGGGAAGGACAGTCAACAAAAGCTGCTGCAGTATTTGGAAGGTGTCAGCAATGCACCCAAAACCAGTCGCACAGCATCTGATCTTCCTAGAAGGGCAGCACAATCCAAYTTCATGATAGCTTACCAAGATATGTCACAGAAACCACAGCCTTGCATGCGTCAGATGCAGAGCAAAGATAAAACAAAGCTGGCTTCCATTAATAAATCAATAAGCATTCTTCAATTGAAAAGTTAAGATAATTTGCAATACGGTTGAGGCAGAACACGAGAGCAGATATTAACAGCCAATGTTGCTTCACACTAGTGAAGCTGCCCTGTGCAACGGAAATCCTCAGCTGCTGGCTTGAGACAAGTAACATTTAGATTAAATAGCAAGRCCCTGTGCATATGAAAGGGAAAGAGACTCTGACTGCAAAGGCCGACTAGCTGCCTGTTTAAATTTTTAATATTTTGCATAAATATTCATATCTTTTCTCCTACGCAACAGGGACAATAATAARCATGAACAGATGAAATTAGTAAGGGGAAATAGACTTGTAGTCTGAGTGCTTAAAAAGAGAACTGTTTAATTTGGTAAACGCCACTCAACCAAATCACTTTTTTTTTTTTCCTATTAATGAATCAAAGTTGCGAAAAGTGCTAGAGACCCAAAATGAATCTTTTTAAAAAAAAAAAAAAAACAGCACGGAAAGCCTCCATCAGTAGCCTTAAAATCCATTTCACTGTTAACAACAGCAGTCTTATCTCTGTTATTTTTCCAATATTTTGTTCTGCATTAATTTAGGGATCCTTTATATGCCTTGCAGATGTCAGCTCAGCCACGAGGCTAATCTTTTTTTCCCTTTCTTTTCAGACAATGTTAAAATGAGAAGAAATCAGCCATTACTACATAAATACATCGAATGCTTTAACAAGTTATTTTTGTGACATGTTTTTGAGAAACTTCTTGTCATACATGATGTTTCACCCACAAAACAGGAAGCTTGAAGCAAACTAAAGCAAACCCAAACTCCTCCCCACCTACACAGTATTTCATTTTTATTACTGCAAAGAATAACAAGAATTAGCAAGAGAAAGGCTGCACTTATCTGCTCTGCAAAACTGCAACTTTGCCTTCTACTCAAAACGAACGTGCACAAGAACTTGTAACAGCTTGAGAACACATGTAGCTCCTAAGTTTGTTTTGCTTTTCCTTGGTTTGGAAGAGGAAAGGATTTTTTCTTTTAATGTGAAATTCCAAGCATTTTAGTAGAATAAATATCACTTTTGCATTTCCTTTCCTTCCACTTTACATATGTAAATAAAGTTCTAAACATCAAGGACAAACAAGACAAGACTACTAATAAGCAGTTAGGAYGAAAAATGTAACCGACTACGAAACCACAAAGGCAGTCTTTAAAGTTTACTTCTAAAAGAAAGAAGAAGGTGGGTTTATTATGCCTTATCTTGACTTCTGCTTTGAAAATAAAACTTTGTGCCTCTTGAATTAGTTAAAAAAACAGAATGACTTTTATTATTATTATGAAGAAATGTCTTTTAAATTCAGTATTTTCAAGGCTACATTGTAAAGTGTAAAGGTGATATTATACATACTGCCTCACAGAAGAGAGTCAAAGGAAAAATGTGCATAGAAAGCTTAAAAAAGGCCTAATTTAAAAAGTTTAAAGTTATTTTTCTTTTCCTCGACTACCTGTTTTTTTTTCTTTAATTATTTTATCATCAAATCTCTTCTTGGAATTCATAAAACAGGATGCACATACTACATTTTAGGGTTTTTTTACTATATGGAAAGGAAGAAAATAAACGGAGGGAATGAAAAAAAAAAAAGGTTCAAGAACCACACTGAGACTCTGGAACAGAAAACAACAGTTTTGAGATGCAGCTAAAACGAAGCTCAGCTCTTCAGCATCTCCTCAGTACMGTACCTTCTGCATAAGTCAACGAGCTGTGTCTGATGATTCCATCTGGCATTCCTTCTCCTCTCCTAGACCTCCCAATAATCTTTAAGGAATCCTGGTCACAAACCACTGAGTCTGTGACCTTGAGGGAGAGGAGTGGAGACAGGAGGTAGGCAGGAAAAGGCTTACAAAAGATCAAGTGAGGATACAGAATGTGCCTGTTGGGAGTCGTGTCCCAGTATTCTCTGGGAAACTTCCCAGTGTTTGACTGCTCTGGGCCAACATCTACTTAACTGATGAACTCCAGAGAGGATGTGAAAAAGGTGTTACCTTTACTGATGGCCAGTAAAGGGTGAGTGGTGGGTAAGGGTTTTTGTTTGGTGTTTTTCTTGAAGAAACAAGTGTCCTAGTTAGCAAAGAGAACTAGGAAGCATCCTAGTTGAGAAGCATCATAGATCCATGCAAAYCTCAGCATCAAAGTAGAGCTGGAGGAACTACAGAATACTCTCCAACAGGAGCGGAGCGGCTTCAATCAGAAGAGACATCAGATGGATCTATAATTCCTTCAAAGTGTTACTTCTTAATTCGCATAAATTCAGGTTCTCTTCATGTATTGTTTAATCCTGGATAGGCACTGAATGAGTTTCATTATGTGATTTGAAAGAAGGTAGAAATGCAACTTTTTCTGGGACATTCTTTTAAGRGAAGCAAGTTCATGATTCTTTGGGTACACAATGAAGAGTACTAGAATGAGAATCCTTGTACAACGATGGAGGAAAAAATAGCACTTAGTGGATCTTGCAGAATTATTTTGGGGGGTCAAAAATGTATTTCTCTTGCTCCCTGTTTCAAGAAGCCAGAAAAAAGTCTTAGCTCAAGAAAAGCCAGAAATCTGAGGACAAATGTCTGGCCTCAGTAAAACCAATTCATTATAAACATGTTTCTTATTAAAGTTATCCTAGCCCTACACTGAAGCTCTTCTTAAACAAGAAGAGTTAGAAATATTTTTAAAATGCAACTTCCTCAAAGATGTATGATGCTGATACAAGTGGTGACTCCTTTTTCTTTCTCACGATATTGTTTTTGTAAACAGCTGTTTCAATCAAGAATATTGTCTCAATATTGCTGTCAGAAACCAGGTGTGCCTTTTTTAAGAAAAAGGATTGCATCTTAAACTTCTATATTTTAAGCCTACACACACACACACACACACACACACGTATGTATGTGCAAATCACTGAGATCAAACACAGTGCTCCTGGGGAAAAAAATTCCATTCACTTCACATCTCATGTGAGTCTCTGGTAATTTTTACGATATGTTCAGTAGAAGAGTAAAAGCAAGCAAAAGAACAGCAAAGTCCAGTACAAAGGCAGAGTAAAAAAGCATATTGCCTGAAAGAATAGATTTAATATCTGTGCATGCCAAGATGTCCTAGATAGGCTTGAAAATGACTCTACAACAGCTTCAAACATCTCAGGCCAAGTTAAAATACAGAACAATAACTAGCAAAGAGCAGCCAAGTCTGACCGTGAATCTGAGAAAGAACAATAGACAGCATTAGCACCTATGGATAAAGCATCAGCACCAAGTGAACTCCAGCAATGGAAATTTGCCTCATTTCTCAAATCATAGAAGAGCTCTCATCCTTACGTCACTTATGTTTAAACACACCATACAATAAGCTCAATAGATAAACTTAATAGCGTGATTCTTATATCCTAGCACTCATCGTTCAATAGTTTCTTCACAAATCTTGCTCGGTTTTATCTTCATCGAAGASAGTTTAGCAGAAGCCCTCTAGCCCACTCAAGACTGTCAGTGCTGAAACACTAAAATCCCAACAAGCCTCAGCARTGCCCTTCCTGCTCTTCTTCGAATTACCAGCTATAATTGCTTCTTATATGATAATTAAGGTAAGGAATTAGAGACTGTGAGAAAGAACTGCTTATGGAGAGTGTCTGAAGTCAGCACAGCTGCCTGCCATATATAAGATCATGTACTGGTAAAGCTCACCTTTCTGACTAATCGAAGTGCTTGTGTTCTTTCTACTTCATTGCTCTGCTGTATATCAATGCACCTGAAACAAGAATGTGTTTTATTTTTTTAAAAACAGCTTTCACCATAACTGTTAACATCTCACTGTTTATATGTACACAAATGGATAAACATTAAAAAATATATTTTGATAAAATATTTTAGAATTCTGCCATTTAGCAAGCATATTTAGTATTTCAGTCATCAATCACAATGTTCTAAAATATATAATGATGAGGCAGAAAGGCTTCAACAGCAAATATGAGCTAGTTGCCCTTTGCCATTTCAAATGGGAATCAAAACACTTATATTTGTTGCGCGTCTCCTCACATCAGAAAAATCTCATTATCCCCAACAAAATTAAAAGCAAGTATATACATATATTTTAGATATAGTACATACAGCATGTTTGTATATACACTCAGGCATGTATACACCCACTCAATTTTAGTGTGCACTTTTAATTATCTCTATATACAAGCATATACTATAAAATATATATACTACTTACACAGTATTCAATATATATATATGTATCTGTATATACAGACACATGCATACCTCAGTACATTAAATTSAACAAGATTTTAACAAAACAAGCTGTAGAGATTATAATAGTTAGATGTCTTCATCATGCTGATCTTATTATCTCATTGTTAGTTTGCCCTCTGGTATTTTCTGTTGTGTCATAGGATATAGTTAGATGATGAATTCTTGGCCATGAACTATTTTTACCCTTGTCTTTGTACAACAAGCTCCTAAGCACCACAGCAATACAGAAAATCAGAAGAAATGCCATAACACAAGGTAAGACATAAACATTTTAAAGGTTTTGATCTCCTAACATTGCCACAGATCAATGCGATTAGTACCATTTACAGTTCAAAATTAGCTTAAATTTCAGTCCCTCGAATTTTGTTTCCGTTTCCTCATAGCATATTGTACATTCATACAGCATTTTATCTGCATTAGCCGATGTGATGTATTATTCCGCTACTTTTAAAGAAAGAAGCTGAAGAAAACCTTCAATATCGAATAAAACAGTCTTTTACAAAGCTACATATCAAAAACATAAACAGACATGAATATATCTTTCCTAACCTCTTTGAACCCTGATTAAAAAAAGAGATTTACACCAAGGATTGTAAWGAAAGAGAAAATACCTGGCTATCAAGTAATCCACTTTGAGCTTTAGCACCTTCTGGAGAATGCCGGAGTCTCGGATGAGATACCGGAGGGCTCGCAATCCTGCTGCTCGCACCTCTTTCGCTTCGTTCAGGAGAGCTAAGCGCAGGCTGCAACGCAGGAAACAAAGCAGGAAAAGCATTCTATAGCAGCGGGCACACTCCACAACCCCACAGGCAGCTAGCACCTACTAATTTTAAATAAAAATCTGATGTTTAAAGAGAAGCATTCTGCATTAATTTTGCTTCTTTGAGATGTGCATCTGTGCAGCCTACAGGGGAAATCTTCACCTTGCCAGCAGATGTAGACAATATATTAATCTGAAGAAAGCCAAAACCCAATCTTTTAACAATAATTCCTACATCCCTGAAATTCTATACGACCAAGCCCTGTATCTGACCTATGACTTGTTACTTGACAAATGAGCACAACATCAGCCCCCAAAAGAAATTCCGGACTAATTGCATTTTTCAAGAACGTTAACATGGAGAATATTCCTCTTGCACTCAACAACATAAAATCCTGAAAGAAGTGTCTTGACATCTAGGAGAGACAAATTTATACTTTCAGTAGCTTTATGAAGGATGCATTAAAGATGCTATGGCACCAATGTTTCAACATTTACATGAAACGTTACAAAAAAGTCAAAGGGAAATGCAGGCAACTCCACACAAAACAAATTGCTACAGATTTCATCTCAACACTTTATTGTAATGTCTTTCTCTTCATATAAATTTTGAGAGCATTTTGTTTGCATCATGGTAAGCTTTCCTAAACAAAATAGTCACCATAATGTAATTGCCTACATTCACTCACTATGTAGGTAAACAGAAAGGCAGGAACTTTGGAAGATCTCCAGAGATGGAAACCGAAAGCATAAAAAAGACAAATTACCCTTCTGAAGGCCCTCATAAGACTCTGCCCCTCTTCCTGATTAAGTAGGGGATAAAAAACAAAAACAAAAAAGCCCCAATAACCAATTCTATTTAAATAGAATTGTTTCATTTCTTTTCTTATTTTGGGTTACTTATGGTAATCAATTGCAACAGTTGCACAGTAATCAAATATTCCAAGGCCCAAACATTCCAAAACTTTATGGAGATCCAATCAGTTCATGGAAAAGCTTCTACTTCTACGTGATGTCCAGACAAAGCAGAAGGGCTACAATATTATACGCAAATAAAGATGAACTAATTATTACCTTCAGCACCAAGGAGCTCCCTCTTTAGGAAGACCATCATTGCTGTAAAATCAAACATGATTCTCTGTAYGATTGCCACTAATTGTCTTTATTACTTCAAGCCAAGCCAGTAGCAAATAAGGAACTGATTCTTATTATTGTGAGGTTAAGAAAAATTGYTCCTCTACAAAAAGCAGAACAGGAGGATAAATTTGTTTCCAAAACATTCCAGAAAAGTAGAGAGAAGGAAAGACAAGTAACTCATCAAGTGTGTTAAGAAGATGACAGGTATGCTTTGGATCACGAATCACGTTGTGTTGCAGATCTACACAGAGGGAATTCTGAGGTATGAACACACAAGAATCGGGTCTTCTCAACAACACTTATCCTACCTGTACTTCTGCCTTAGAGTTTGTGATTTGTTRAGATCTCTCAGTTTAAGTGGCCTCGTTAGAATTGTGGGGTTTGTTTGTTTGCTTGCTTTTTTGACAAAATGGAAGGTTTCTCACTATTTATGAATTAGTGCCTTTGCTAGTGCCATTGCATATTTCCTGCTAGAACAACCAAATTCTGAAATGCCGAATCTGGATTTTTTGTTCTCTCCCATCAAGTAAAGCACTTATTTTTATATTGGAGACAGAAACTCTTGGTACCACAAAACGWTCTTTAGACACAGTTTCTCAAAATTAATTAGTGTTTTGAAAGCTTGTCCTACAATTTGATAGRGAAAGACACTCTTAACTTGTGGTCAGGAGCTGAAGAATTGGCAATACTGAAACCACAAGAAATGGCAACACTATCAGGACGAGATCTAAATCCAGAAGATACCAAAAAGGAATGTGTCACTRTCTTCAAAAATAGTGATGATACAATGAAAATATAAGTACTAACTAGTAAGACTTAGCTCTAATATAAAGATCATAAAACTCATATATGCACAAAGGAAGTAATGATATATAGAAATGTACAAGGCTGAACAAAACCTTTTAATTAAAACAACACAACTTTAAAACCTTAAAGAACATAGTATAAGCAAAAAGAGGAATCTGACCTTATGAAAATTCAATTACTATATGCAAGTGCAGGCCAAAAGGAGAAAAATATGTAGAAAAATATGAAGGCTATCCAGATGTATATGTTTCCTTTTTTTTTTTTTTTTTTTTTCTTCTTCAAGTATATCACAGGCAGGAAACTTGAAAGATGAAGCAGATGCACTGAATCAGCAGAGAGATGGGAGGGAAAGAATGTGGCATATAAAAATACAAAATGAACTGAAGTATGACAGGAAAAATGAAAAATTTCTTTGTGTTAAGTCTCTGCTTTGAAGATTTACATGATGATTACTGTCCTGTCCATGTATTTTAATGCCATTAAAGAGAAGCTACTTGCAGAAGAGGAAGTGATTTAACAACTAGAGGAAACTCATCAGCATGTATTATCCATAACCCACCAAGTTAGGCATCTAAATATCCAAAAAGAACAAAAGYATGAACTGTTTGTGTATAGCAAGCACCTCATTCCAAATAGCCATGCCAAAAGGTGATAAAAGGTGTAGGTAAAAAAAGACTTCAAAGCTCATCCAAGTGRCTGCTTAAAATAAATCTAGGGAACCATGTGAAGAAACCAGAATAGTTTATGCAAACTGTATTACACTAGTCTACTGAAAGATTTCTTTAAAAGAAGTTATTAGAATGCTGTACATAGAGGAACCACTTTCATAATTCAGCAACCAAAAGCTTCAAGCAAATGTTACTTAAGATTATACTAAGGGACAAAGAYGTTACAGGGAAAAAACAGTAGTTTCACAAATCAAAATCTGAAAGATGAATAGCAAAGAGTAGAGATGAATAGCAGATTTTTATCCTGACATCAGTTTAGAACTAGAGAACCACAATCTCCTTTGGTAGACAGCAGTTAATACATGATTCCTATTTGGGAGAAGGAATAGGGGAGGGGGAAATATTAAAGATGATGATGTTATTCATGTTAATTAGAGTAGGATGGGATTATGAGAAACTTCAAGGGAACTTAAAAATAATTTGTGTGAATAGTAAGCAAGATGGTAAAGAAAATTCAGGATGGTTAAATGTGACTTAGTATATGACAAAAATGTTTTATTTATCCATACTGCAGGATTCTAAAATAGCCATCCAATCAAGAAAATGATTTTGATATCAACTGTAGATCATTCATTGTGCATCTGTGGCTGAAAGAGCCAAAAAAACCCATTAAGACTGTGAAAGAGAATGAGCTTTATCAAGAATACGACATATTTATACATAAATGCATAGTATATTCTTAACCCAGTACAAAACCGCTTGCCCCAGTATTTAAATGTTGCTGTAGAAATAMAAAGAATTTCTTAAGACAGCATTAAGACTGATTAAAAAGTCTGGAAGAACTAACAAAGGATGGAATAAGAATATTAGCTACCTATTGTAGGTTCATTCTTGCACCTTTTCCTGAAGCATCTTGTCCACTCACTACAGAGTGGTTTTGACAGATCTTTCTTTCAGTCAGGTAATTAAGAATATTCTGAACTTTGCTTTTATGGCCAAGGCTTCTTGGCACATTGCTAAAAGACCTCAGAAGTTTGAGGCCTACCAACACTCCAACTCTTCATGGCTCAAGGCTTCCTCTCAGCTGTCATTGGTATGATGCTCTGGGAACCGGCAAGACCCATCTATACTGGGAATGACAACAAAATGTGTCACTATTATCTCCATCTGCTGGCAAGAAGATACTATCATCAGGCACCTGGACTAAAAACTTTTTTTTTTTTTTTTTTTAATAAAAAGGAGCTTTGAAAAACAAATTCTTAACTGAAGAATAATTGCAATCCTTGGTTTGATTAAATATTCTGTCAAGGTTACTGACTCTCAAAACAAAAACTTCATAAGGAATTGGTATTTTTTCTTGAATTCATCATTCCATTATAATTTAGTGCCTTAGAATTAGCCAAAGAATGTTTCATTTGCAAGGAAGGATGCTGCAAACCCAATCATATAGATCAAATTATCATTAAAAGTTTATCTTCAAATCCCGGTTCTCCCTAAAGAGTCTGTTTCATGTTCTATGAGTCTGTTTCACATTCTGTTTTTAGGAAAAGTGTTTTCTGTAATTTAGTGGGATGCTTAGAAGTATCTTTTTTTAATTTATGAGGAATATAATACAGAAATAAAAACTTTCACTTGACTTTTTTCCCCCCTCTAATAGTGTAGCATATATTCTTGATTTTACCCTTTAAGATATTTGCAATTTATCTGTTTAATTTATATGCATAATGAAAATTTCAAATACATTACAACTACAAAAAGGGAGCTAAATAGTATAAATAAACATGGTTTTCTTTCACCTAGAACAAGTACCTTACTACTAATATAGTATTCCTTACTACTTACCATATTATGATGCTGTCATAAGTAAAACCTAGCTTTTCTTCAGCATGGCCAGTATTACAAAGAAGCTGAAAATAAAAGAAAGCATCTGTTATTTATAATGCTCTAAAAACTTGAAAAATATCTGGCACTGCTTTCAAAGAAACCTAAGGAATGAAATTCATTCTGCCATTCACTGCCCTGGCCCGTGTGCCTTTGCTGCTGGTGTTCCACTCATCCACATAACAGACACATGGGCCCCTCTTTTCAGGTGGAAGTTTACACAATTATTTAAGCTGTCTGCTGGTCCATCTTTCATCTCCACCTGTTTGAGGTTGCTCGTCTTGTTGCTCTCAAGCTCTATTCAGAAGAGCCACTCGATGGGAAACTGGTAAACAGCCTGGATGCAGGCGGGCGCCTGAAGGCCAAGCTCATGTGACACTTGCATTCAGAGAGGCCTGAAGCAAAGAAGGGAATCCATGAACCAGGCTCATGTTTTGCAACAGCAAAGGCACACGAAAAAAATTCAGAAGGAGCCACCAGTGGTAAGTGCCCCTTGACTGACATTGATTTTTAGTGGTATGAGACACCCACAGGTTCTGTGGAATCAAAGACAGGCCGCGGTCACAGGGTAAAAACTGGAATTCTCACACACACACACACACACACACACACACACACACACACACACAGAGGAGACGCCCATAACCTGTAGCAACTTGTGAACAAGGCAACCTTCTCTGTCAGTTCTGAGCACAAGCCTGAAGATTTACAGCGCAGCAATTACGTGCAAAGCCGATCTCAAAGGAGAAAACTGGAGCATGCTTACTGGAGAAAAKAAAGTTTCTTCCTCAAGAAAAACTAAAGCTGCTTTCCCTGAGAACAGTGGCAGTAAAATTCTTCATAATCTCATTCACTATGCTAGTGATAAAATGCTTTAATGCTAGGTCCAAATCCCAAAGCACTTTTCAAAGCGCCTTCAAATCCCACAGTGACCAGTCGCAGGGGATGTGCACCTTGCCCTCTCTGCTCCCCAAAACAGGCATTGGATTTCTAACCAGAACGGTATTAACAGCTCCTCCTCGGAGAGGAATTCAGCAAGTATTTATGCTAATGAACACCGCTGCCCTGCAGTTATAAAAACAATTCTGTGTCATGTTCATTTTATGTAGTTAGTTAGCACTAACAATAAGAAACATGCTACCAAAAAAATTGAAAAGTGAATTTGAAGTTGCTAAATTTGAAATACCCAAGTGTTCCATGCTCCTATCCCACTGCTCCCTTCCACCTAAAAAAAAMCCAGCACATTGGTCTGTAGTCTTTTTTTTTTTTAAGTAAGCTTGATTTCATTAGCACAATGGCTTAAATGCAAACAATTTTGAGGTACATGTTCAACAACTGCAAGCCTTCGAAAGAACCACATAACATATTAAGAAGTTATTTTTCGTCTTCAGAGAAAAAAACATAGTAATAGTACTGAAACTCAATATTAAAATAATAATGTGCATTAATAAATGAGACCAGAAACACTCCATATTTTGACTCACGTAAGATTAGCAATTATAAATATGCTGGATTTTCCATTTTTCGTAACAATGGTCATACTCAAAGGTGTTTACGAAATGCTTGAGAAGTTATCGTAAAACGTACTTTTCCCCACCTTTCAAATTAAAGTGATAATAAAAGCAGGCAATTGCCTGCATTAACCGGTTATGACAGTATGTCACATCCCCCTATCAATCTATTTTTGTGCTGCGTTGTCGGACTGCCTCTGGCCACCGCTGCTGCTTTAGCATTTCYATTGACATCTTATGAACTGTAAAAACTGGCTGGCAGAGTGCAGGCAAAACAGCGTGAGAAGGCGGCGGCAAAAACACCTCCCTGCTCAATTGCAGAGAGCTGCAGCGAGGCCCATGGATTACACATCGAGACTGTCCCCATCACACACACATGAGGAATCCTGATTTAACCACATTACCCTTAACAGTCTTTTTTTTTTTCTTTTTTTTTTTTTCCCCCCCCTGCTTAAAAGAACTGAATCATATTTCTGAAGTAGGACTAAAGTATCTCTATGGAAAGTGGGAGATAAGTAATACAACAATTCATAGAGAAGATTTAGCTCAGCAAGGGGTGAAAATAAGTACAATCCTTCCCAACACAATGCAGAAGAGAAACCCAAGTCATTCCAATAACATATTTCAAATAAAGATTAGACCGCTGCTCAAAAAATCTGCATTATTTATAAATATATAGATTTAGCTACAGATCAGATACAGAAAAACATTCTACTTAATAGAAGCTAAAAGATTGTTTATCAAGGCAAATCAAGGGAAATAAAATAAAATAAAATAAAATAAATCACAAAAAAATAATTTAAGCTACATTAAGCATATGCAAAATTCCCCTCCCTCCTTAGTTTGTTGTCCGGTCCATTGATCATGCAGTAACATTTGTTTGATGGGGATTTTAAGACCAGTTTCTAAGTCTCGATTCAGAGGAAATAGAGGTTAATATTATTCTGTTTACACAGTAAAGAGGAATCACATTAGCTTAATGCAAACAGGGTTTCATAATTCTGTTTTTGAAATGGTACTGTACTCTACGGATGACGTATACTTCTACACTCATGTAAGAGCTCAACAGGAACCGTAACCAGGGGCCATGTTGTGTAAAACAGTCCTAACTGACTGCAGAAAATATTGTGTTATTTTCTCAAACAGTTAAGAGTAGGAGATGGATGTTTCATTTTCCATGAGAGCCAAATAAGAACACGTGTCTCCCAAACCTCAGCAGCCCCCATGAATTCTTCTGCTCTCACTAGGTATCACACAGCAAGCAGTTACAAGGACTTGAAAAGGTTTCTCTTGTATTTTTGCCTACAATACTACACTGTTCAGTCTTTCAAAATTTTTATTTGTTGAAAATTATACTGGGATATTAATGTCATTTTTACCTGAGAGACTACTTCATGTGCAAATTATTGCCCAATACATCTATTTTTAATAGTTTCAACTAATGCCTTTCTACAACTAGGTCAATTTAATCATAGCTTCTTCTTTCATGACTCACTTTTTATTAATTTTACTGCAACTTCTTTCTCCACTTCTTTCAATTTTCTATTATTTACTCTATTCTTAACACTTCTGCAATATACTACCAAATGTGTAGCAGAAGAGAACGGGGAGGCCATAAGAAATCAGTATGTAGTGGCAAGCATCAAGCAAAAGTTTTAGAGAACACGCACATACAAGACGTACATAAAAATATCTTGTATTAATTGGTTACTTTCTGAATAAAAGGACTGGTATGGCCAAAATAAAAAAGGAAATAGGTTATATATACACATATGCATTTTTTATATATAAAAACGTATATGTATGTCTGCTGGTAGTAATCTACCACCAAAACAGAAGCTATACCTATATACAGCACTTAGTCTTAAAAACACTATCATCATTGCACTTCATATTTGGAAGAATTCTTAGCATTGGTTATCATTGTTGCTAAAAATTGAAGAAAATCCAAACTTTGTCTGGTCCCTAAGAAAACAACTTAGGAGTATAAACGGAATGAGAAGAAAAAAAAAATCTGTTCTATAGCTATAAAATCTACATCAATACAAGTGATTTAGAGATACGCTTCTCCCAACTTTCCCTCAAGGACATTCATATTCAAAATCATTTAAGAGCTGTATTATGCAAAACTCATGTTTATCATCTTATTTTAGGTTAGTTTTTCCAACAAAAATCAAATCCCACCCCATTGAGACTTTTTTCCATCATTATTTCTCCATTACTTTTGCTAGTTAAATATTGACAGTATTCACAAATAGATAAAAACTGCACAAACATCTGGCCCATGAAAGACACTAGAAAAACATTTCTGCAGCTATCAGTGTGTTTATCTCCCTTCCGGTATCTACTAATAGTAGTGTCCCCCTCACACCAAAACATTGGCATAAAAATGAGAATAACTGCACTCATAACTTATTTTGGTGGTTACCTGGACCACAGTTTCACATTTGTCCCCAAAGGTGCACAGACTCAGGTGCACAGGTCCACCAACAGTGCCCCAGGAACTTAAGGAAAAATTTCTTGACAGTGAGGGTGACAGAGCTCTGGAACAGGCTGCCCAGGGAGGTTGTGGAGTCTCCGTCTCTGGAGATCTTCAAAACGCCCCTGGATGCCACCCTGTGCCACATGCTGTAGGTGACCCTGTGTGTGCAGGGCGGGGTTGGACTAGATGATTTCCAGAGGTCCCTTCCAACCTTAAGGATTCTATGATTCTATGACCTGGTTAATCTATGCAAATGAAACTGTAACTAGAAGAGCAGATTTTTTTTTTTCCTCAAAAAGCAAGAAATATAGCCAAACTGTTGGTCCTGACAGATGACTAATTTCAAGTGTTTGCAAACCTTAAAAGGTTTGCAAGAGATCCTTTCATTGAGCCACAAACTAGTAGAGCTGTTGAAGCTGTTGTTCACCCAATAGCAGCCTGTAGACCTTGGTCAGATCCCAAAAGGACTCCTGTCATGCAACTATATTATCATTTTTATTTGGGTCATGAATGCACTTCTGAACYGAGTCTCCTGGCATTCCATTTACTGAATGTTGGTTTGTAGCTTGAGAGGAAACTAAAAAAGATGCATTCCAAGAACTCTCCTAAAGGGCTTCAACTGCTAAAAGGCATTTAGRTCACAGGACTAGACTAGACAGGAGTTAGCCCAAGGTAAGCACTCCCCACCAAATGTATTTAGTGTAGATACTAACCTCTCAATACCAACTGTTTCACTCTGTGCATGTGCTCTTCCCAGGCACCCCCTTGCTAATATCAAAGAAACTTGATCTTACCTTGAAACTTGAACGTAGTCACGAAACTTGATAACTGTTATGACTAAGTGCAACCAACAAACTGCGCTGGTACAAAATTCTGAATGTGATAATTACTAAAGTGCATGCGTATGTACACAAGAAAATGAATACATAAAATTCACTGAAAAAAGTATATGCAATATTTATTATTAGCAAGGATTTTGTGTTGTGAGGCCCCTTTTACTTATGTATTGGTTTCCTTAACAGTTGGCAGAAAATAACGGGCTTACGGAATTTACAGGTGTAAAAGAACTTAGAAGAGGGACTGTAAAATCAGAACTGAAAATGTTTTAGTGATTTGACAAGAGTGCCTGCACTGGGTAAGAAAAATAACCAGGTGACGGGAACGCTGTATCGTCTCACTGAGAGTATCACACAGCAAGACAGACCTGGAAAAACTGCAACGAGTCCGGAAGAAACAAGCACAAAATGCTACATTTAAGAGAATGCAAGAAAAATGCAACAGCCCTCCCCTCACTCTCCCTTACTGCAGGAGAAAGCAAAATGAGATCTGTGGGCTCACTATAACCCAAGCGAGTCTGCATCAAATTCAGTCTCAACTTTGGCACTTTTTTCTCCTTTTACCTTCAAACGACATCAAGCAAGTTAATCATTCTAGACCAATCGYGGTGATTTCTGTAGACAGCAGCACTCCTGGCAAAGGCAGGTATAAGGAGCATGTTCGTGACCTAACATTTAACAATTAATGTGCAATGTCACTGTAGTTAAGACTGGAGGCGCAAGCAGTACAAGAATACTCCAGTCTGCTTGGTACTCTCTCTTTCACTGGGTATTATTTGAATTCTAGGAATTAAACAAAAGGGATTATTTTTTAAATAGTAAAGTGTATTTTTGGATAAAACTTCCTATAAATCAACTCTAAAATTAACATTTTTGATATCATAGTAAATAGTACAGGCTCCTTGAGTGAATGATTTAGTATTAGCACAGGATTTTATTTTACTTGCTCTAAGCTAAGCAATGAGTAACTTACAGTGAGCCCTTTTTTTTCTCTCTCTCTCTCTCTCATGTTTACTGTCAGCTATGAGTTTTTCATGCTACTTGGATGAGTCATAGCAATATGAGTAACACATCAACATATCTTGGAAACAGTAGCGCAAAACAACAAAACCACAGATCAACAGCATATACAACTTGGGTGTATATAGAAATTGCTCAAATTTTTATGTAAGAATATTCATAGCAATTAATAGGTAAAAATATATCATTCTATAGATCCAATTGTTGCAGTTATTGTACTGTAATTTTGGAAATAGTTTGAGCCACCATAGGCAGTGTGAGATTGCTTAGCAGCTTTTACAGTTTCTCATTTTCTCTTTTTTTTTCCCCCATAGGAAACTCCACAAAAGCGAAAGAAATTGATTTAAAATAGCTGTTTCTAAAAATCTTTGATATCAGTGTTGCCTCAAAGGGAAGTCCTTACTCAAATTACAGGCTCTGGGCTTGCATCCATTTGCTCTTCAAATTTGTTCCACAGTGGAGTGTTCCTAAGGAGATGTTTTATTCCTATGGGCTATATATTTTCTGACAGGGTATCAGGTTTTGTCTAGTAGTGGTATAGCTTTTTGGAGGAACCTTATGGACAGTCAATATTGCATTCAGATTCAAAGACAGTTCGGGGTTTTGCAAATGACAGTCAAGACACAGAGAACAACAGAACCATTATTGATGCTAATACATTGGTAGGGTTAAGCTAAAATCATTAGTCAAGTTTCATTTTGTCCTTAAAGAAACAATTTTCTCTTTAGATTAAAAGTAATAATAATAAAAAAAAGCCCATAATAAAGCCCGTGATTTTTTTCACTGCATTATTTAAATATGCTTTTAAGTTTAAAATGGTATAAAGGCTCTCTCAGGAACTAGAAGTAGAATAAGTCACCTATAAAGCTATCTAAACGAGTACTTCAAATTTAAAACTTATTTTCCACTAGGTATCTACAATTGTACAGTCCTTCTGGTTTTCAGTAATGTATCACTTACTAACTCTCATGGGGGTGGGGAAAACCCCAAAGAAAAAACCAAGAGGTTCTGGTATTAATCAGCAAAAGCTGGGRAAGTTCAAGGTGCCTCTCAGCTAGCTGGCCGTGCAAGTCAAGAGGGGTCAGCCCTGGGGAACTGCAGTCATGACTGAGGGTGTCACACACCATTTACTAGAGGTCGACTCCTCAAGCTGTTTCTAAGTCAAAATTGAGGTTTGATTAAACGCCGCGTTTGTAGAACTGTGTCTCCTGGTAACAGGTCTACCTTGGTCTATCTTGTAGGTCTATCTTATCCGGATGAGTCTACCTTGACTTCAGCAAGACTTGCAGCACTGTCTCCAGAGCTGGTGAAGTATGAGCTGAGGTAGAGAACAACTGCTTATACCAGTACCCACTTTTCATAACSTTTCCTTTTAGCATAACAACATTTCTATCAGAAAAGTAGGTTTTATAAGTTTTCTGTATTACTTTGTCAGAAATATAAAATATAAATGACTATTTCAAAGGTATTTTCCCTGCTCATGGCATAAATACTCTAGATAACAAATTGTCTTTAGCATGGACCATAAAATGCAAAAACTTACAAACAAACCAGGTTTGTTACCACCATTGTAATTGCCAGGAAGGATGCAAACATCCTCAGCTTTTGGCATATCTAACATCACAAGACCCCACTGTTTTCCCACACTCTTATTTCACCAAGGAGGAACTGAGATGATGTCAATACATGGCAGAAGACTGGAGCACAAAATAAAACCGTCTCCCCCAAGCTCCAGGCTTTCACTCTTAACCACTAAGTTAAGAAGTTTACTGAAGTAAAAACACAGAACTGTTCCAACCACAAGGGAGACAAGGCAATACATGTTTTAAATCATATTTTCATAACCGCATTTAAAATTCAAACAAAAAATAGGAGAAATTTCACAATCAAACATATAAGCTTACATTTCTAAGACCATCTTACTGGGAGACCAATGTAAGAACCAGTGCTACACACCAAATGAAATAACACGATTCAATTACACAGTGTTTTGATTTGGGATCAAAAGTAGGTTACAAATCACAGTCTCTGTTTTCTAAAGTTGTATTTAATTTTACAAGCTTTCCTTTTCAAAAACTTGTAATTTCTTGACAGACTTAAGTCAAATTTATTAAAAAAAACTTCTTCTAGTTTTCTTGAACTTTTTCTTCAAAAAGTTCTTCAAATACTTGATTATAAAATTATTTATTTTTTCAAAATTGACTTTTAAATGAATGAACCAGATAAAGCTCCTTTTAATTATATTTTGCATATTTACTAATTTATCCTATTTATAGTTTCCTAACATCTGGCAATTTTTAATATGAAAATCAACACTGTTTTAAGATTCGCAGTTTCAAATATAAGCTCTTCACTGGAAATCACCTATCTACAAATCCAATCTAGTTTTCAATTTTAAATCAACAGAAGAATCATCTGGAGACACCTGCATTCATAAGTTTCCAGATAAGAACAAAAAGGAAACACAGCTACAACTGCCTTCTCTAGTGAAATAAAAAGCTTCCTCAAAATAAAATCTGGAATCTTAGTAACACCAGCAGCACTCTGTACCAGAATCCAAGACAAGAGTTCACTATGTTCAGTTCCTTGGTGAATCTGTACACCTATACACACTCTGAACCAGAGCACCAAGCCGAGCATCTACCGAAGCGCTGCGCATGGCAGGGTATGAGATTCACCTGGTAGAAAGGTGAATACTGAGAACCAAATTCCTAGACGATAAGTTTACTTGCAACTTAAGTTGTTTGTTCTCAGTATTCACCTTTCTACCAGCTGAACCTCATACCCAAATGAGTCTCGTCAGGAGGGCTTTCGACAGCCAAGGTGCACCCTAGCTCCAAAGACCACGACACACAGTTGTCCTTCTCACATTAAGCCCCCAAACTTGCCCTTGAGCATTCGTTCTCTTTCACCTGAGACACTCTATAAAGCAAACTCTCAAGCAGGCTCCTAGATACCTTACTCAATACCTTGTTATCAGCTTACCTACAAAAATAACAGAAACCTTATTTTCTCTTGTTTTCCACCACTACCTTCCTTTTTCACTGCTGGTGACTACAGGATACATCATATTTGTCACTGAAACTTGAATTTTATCTTCAGATACAGACTTCGATCTGGCTCTCTAGTAGGAATGTGTACATCTAACTAGTTCCTTCTGCATTATCATTTAGAGATTACCTTAATTTACCTCTTTCTGAAAATCCAGTTTCTCCTAGCTTACTAACAACACACTTTTCCCTTGCCTCAACAACTAGCACACAACACAACACACAGAGAGTGCTTCTAACACACCCTTTTCCTAGCTGGCTGGTCACATGCCATCAGGACTGTCTTTGGTTCCATCAGTTCCTCATCTACCAAAAAAATGGTAGCTGCTCTCACTCCAAAGGCCCTTCATGGCTTCCTTCTATAATCTCTCATCTCTCATTCTGTGGCAAGTTATTAACTCCTGCCTCTTGCCAATTCACAATGTCAGCCTCCAACACCTCCATCACACTTTTAGGCAAATACTAAAAGTATTTTAGTATAAAATAGTCCCATGATTTGGGAGCTTACATCGGGAGAAGCACGTCAAAATTCGTGACAAAGGTAATTTAGAAATTTGCCCTGTAAGTATTTTTCGCTATGAAACCTACAGTGGAAAGTTGACTAGGGCAACAGAGGTGCCCAGACCACCACATGTCCTGCTAATCAGCACAGCCCCCTCACTGCACTTCATCAGTTCAGATCCCGGCAGCCTGGCATTTCAAATCTGTGATTCAATCCTGCAGAGAAAGAACCCTCTGTTTGTGCAACCTAATCCACAAATTGGAATTTGATTCAGACTTCTAAGTACAACAGTATGACCAAAATAAAATAAAATAACACTTTCACAGCATGACCCTAAATTCACATGTTTGCTTATACTTTTTTTTTTTTTGCTCCTTTTTTCTCTTACTGCATCTAGACTTTGTTTACTGTTTCATACTGCTAAACTATTTCATGAAGCTTCTGGCCAATGCCTGATAAAGTACAAATAAAATATTTAGCACACAGGATCATATGTCTAATGCCACTACTTAAGTTCTTACCTTAGTGAAATTATTCAAGTGACCTAGTTTTCTCATATTTGAAACACCTTGTAATTTGGCCACATTTTGGAGAATCTCTCTCATATTATCACAGGGTTCTGCAAAAGAAAAACAAGTTGTTAGCATATACAGCTAAAAAACAAAAGCCCAAAGTTGCATTCAACATCCAAGTTAGCTAAACATAACAATCAAGTTTCCAAGTAAAGATTTTTGAAATTAAAATAACTATTCTTAAGTATGAAGACTGTTCTCCTTTACATAATATTGATTTCATTTATGTCCAAAATCAGTCAGGTGTATTTCTAGAATAAATGCTCATGAAGGAGACTCCTATTTTTAAAGCAATTTTAATCAATATCTTACATTTACAGTCGACAAAGATAGCTATTTAGTGATTGAAACTCTATTCCTGGTATCTCATATCTGAACAGCTTTACCCTGAAATCCTCTTGTAATTTAAGAGGCAAAATATTCCTTCCTCAGAAGCAAAAAATAAAGTAAAAAAGATGCTACATGTTACTACCACACCAYAGAATTATAATTTTTTCAGACGGAGGCTCAATGGGATTATGGGTAGACAAGACTCTCTTCTGTTCTCCATATCAACTTGTGTCCACAGCCACCCTGAACTTAACCAGGGCACTGTGACCTTCTGGCAAGACATGAGGCAGCTTCGAGGTGAGCAGRAGATCTGGGAATTATTCCCCTCCTTCCCTCCTTTTCTTCCCCAGGATCCATCATCCAAACAAAAACAAACAAACAAGCAACACCAATACTCAGATTCCYGTTGATGACCTGGCCCTGCTGGGAAATGGAAGAGGGCTGCCAAACACGGGAAAAGAGGGGGCATTGTCCTGCCGCGGGGAACGAGGCTGGGAATACCGGCAAAGTTGGACTGAGCGGCACGGAGCAGGACTTGGCACAGACTGAGGCTCAGGCAACTACTGCAACAAACTGCAATCGTTTCTGTGCATGGTCATACTGGGGTAGAACGGCCTTCCAAGGGCTGCTTCATTGCAGGATCTCGTGCAGTCTGGGGCCAGACACTTCACTGGAGATGTGAACTGTTGAAAAGTGGGACGTTATCCAACAAAAGAAAACAAAAAAAGGAGAATTACATAAAACAAAGTCCTCAGGAAAAGACTGGAGTCCAATTACTAGACATCTGGAAAGGGRCAAAAAGAAGGCTTGTGTGTGGTGTCCCATACAAACTTGTAGTATAGTAGGAGAACCTTGCTCCCTAGCGCAGCATGAACAGCTGCAACTGAAAACACAGCAGGTCTCAACTCCCCTGCTCGTCCTGAAAGGACACCAGAAGGAGACAAGAATTTGAAGAGTTAAGGAAGCACCTTCTTGCCACCTCTCTACAAGCTTTTATCTTTTTGGGTAAATCACTTCTGTCGTTTAAAAGCTGAAAGAGCAAAAATTGGTTTAAAAAAAAAAAAAAAAGACATGCTTACCAAGAATAATTTTGGAATGTATTTGGAAAGATAGGAGCCTGTGTCTACTCAGCGACCAGACACACAAAGCAGTATTTATTTGGAAATTAAGACACCTACACCTACATGTCGACACCTGAACTGAGGTTAATCAATCCTGATGTCTCAGGTCCTGCTGTAACCAACAGAGATCTGTCCATTAGCTAACRAAGGCTACAGTTACCTTGACTAGCTATAAGGTAGCTATACATACATAAGGTAGCATACATACAGACACACATTTACATTGTAGACACCTAAAYACAGGCATCAACTTCAGTTACAACCAGCTTGGTATCAACTATCCTCTTCCATAAACCTCAGCCCCAGCCAACAAGCATAGTTGAGTGTTAGGTCCAACCACAACTGCTTAGTAGTTCAGCACGCTGTGTCTAGCTAAAGCTAATATCCATTAAGCTTTACATTTAAATTGGAACATTTGTACCCACATACAAATAAATAGATAAATCCAGAGCTTTCTTAGCACTGTMGAAATGAGAGACAAGATTTTACTGCTAGATTCACCCTGTGTTCAGGATTTCTCCGTATAGTTTATTCTCCAGGGCTCAGAGGTTTCCAGCAGCGCAAGCCATACYGAGAAACGCTGCAGACAAGTATGTTAGGGAAGTTATGGCACTACAAACAGTTCATACCATAACCTCTAATTTCAAGGGAACATAATAGAAGAGGAAAATAACTTCCTGATAATTTGGTTTCTCTGAAAATACAGTTTAGCAGAGCTAAACTCTTGAGCTTGTCGTGTGGTACGGGTGGGAATTTTCCTGGCTCACAGGGCTTTTGGACTTGTAACACRTTCACATTTATACCACTAGAAAGATTGGACCTTAGTTGTTTCTAGCTCTCCAGAATGTTCTTCATTTCTATGAAGAATCMTAAGTAAGAATAACTTTCCAAAGTGACTAGAAATGAGTTACAAAGTTTTAATTTTCAAAGTGCAGTGGTTATATAAATATCTACTCAAATGAAGCTCAGTATTACAGACAGAAAGAAACATCAGACCACCTAGAAAATCTAGTACAGCCTGGTACCTCTGGTACAGCACAGGAAACTGATATTTCTATCTTTTCCCAGTCTAACAACTCCGTCACAACAGGATATATTCACCTCTTTAATGGGTCTGCCTAACTAAGGCGTGCATTAGAACCATTTTATTGTAAACAAGCATCAAAACTGCCCTTGCAGCAACACTGGCCTCTTCACACAGAGAAAACCTGTCATTTCTAAGAAGACAAAGTTTGAGGAAAAAAGTCTTTGCAGGGGYTAGCAGAGCAGTAAGGTACTCCCAAAAGTTTTACTACCAGAAAAATAATTTAATGCAGAATGGAAAGTCCAGTATAAGAYTCAATGAGAAAATTGGGAACGAGGCAGTCGCTTCCACTATCAAATTGGTGACATGACCAAAGCAGGTTATCTGGCTCACAAATTTGACAGTATCAACAGTAAAAGTACGGTAGGAAAATAAATACATAAATAAATAAATAAACAAACAAATAAGGCTAAGCAACAACTAACCTTTAATGACACACACTTGTTCAGGGAAAACTAAACTTATGGAAAGCTTCTCTCCTGGTCAGTTCAAGTCTTGCTTCAAACTTTAAAAGAAATCTTTGAATCTCTAGCAAAAACTTAACACAGGAATTGTGACACTAAATTCAACAAAAGACTACCCTAATTTTCCTCCTCTGGAGTTGCAGCACATATTACAAAAGTAGAAAATGTACTCGATTACCTTATTGAGGCTCATTTTTATTCAGAATAAAGTCAATAGGGATGGGAGACAGGCTTATCTATTTTACAAGATGCAGATGCAAAAGAAGTTAAAATAATGTGACTTCATGGATACAGGCATATTCTCCAGGAYTTTGTCCTCTAAAATAGAAGAGACTTGTAGATAGACTAAATACATTACGGATGCTACTAGCACGGCTTCCCCTTAAATCAAAGGGCAGATATAGTCCTGCGCATCTTCCTGCCACAAAGTCTTACACGATGGCATTGAAGAACAAGGTTTAACCCAGAAAAGAAAAACAGCTGCTGCATGATCTGAGAGATGCAATCTGCAAAACACAGCAGTACAGTGGTCTTAACTTTTCACTGTCAAACTAAACATCTCATCTTGGTGTTGAGCAGCACTTTTGGGTTTTTTTTTTTGGTATGAGCTCAGTTCAGACTCCAGCAGCAGAGATTTCTTAGCTCTCCAATTATACTGCCTCTTATTCTCCACCCCTTTGGTAGTTCTTGCTTTCTTAYCTGGGCAAAGAAAAGAAGGAAAAAGAAGCTATTCATCATCAACTTAAGACCCCTTAAGAGCTTATTCTTTCTTGACTTACCTCATTTATTACTAAGATGCTGACTCACATCAAGTAGCCTATAATGACAACCAARTATCATTTTTCCCATAGAGTTTCTTCTGAGAGTGCAGTTGGGCAAAGTGACTGAGCYGACTCTACAGCTCTCTTCCCATGAAAGGGCACAAATCCTTCTCTTAATTTCCTTCCTTCTGCCCTATCTCACTTTATGGGATACCACATCCTTTATATTAATCCACTGCTGATCATCTTCACATGAAAACAGTGCTACTTGCTATCTCAGCAGGCAGCTTTTTGTTCATTCTGCCCGTGTTAGCTTTGTGTGAGATTGAGTCAAACTGGATTATTGCAGCGTGGCACAGGAACCAGCCCACACGAGCGCCTGCCAGCGAGGGGCTCACACGCAGAGCCCTGGAAGCAGGACGTGCCCTTTTCACCAGAACAGAAACATTAGATACCGGTCAGGCTCTTGGATGCACTTACTTGTATTTACACAGCTACTTCGACTTAAATGTCAACTGCTTTTTTCTACTATTATTATTTTATTGATGTATGCAACAATTTCAGGCTGGTGCCCTCTGGGCTGCACAGCAGCCTACATGTGCTGACCCTCACTGTCTCCCTTTCTGCACCTCTGCCTTTCTTTATGGAGAGCAAGTACCTTGAAGCAGCAGTTATCTTTGGGCTGYCTATTTGTATGGCACCAAAAGCAGAGTCCTTGGTCTACAACTGTGTGTGCAACGAGCAACCCCCTTCATACCTAATGGTAATTTCAGCACTGCCAAAGCATTTGGGATTTTTGTTKCTTTTCTCAGGGGAATGGGCTAAAATTGACTTAAAGCCATAGTTTCAAGAATTCAGTGATTCTCTTACGCTCAATGTAATTCATAGATGCAAGCACAGTTTAAAAAATAGGAAAAAAAAAAAAAAATAAAAATTTTTAAAAAAGGCTTTGAGTTTGTTGTTTTTGTTGTCTTTAAAAAAAAATCCTGCACACCGCTGCATGACCTGTTGGGCCTGACTCATCTTTTCACCCCTCAGGCCTGCGACATTGTTCTCCCCCGCAGAGCAGTGATGGGTTGTGACAGCTCCCATTCTCCGGAGAGGCAGAAAGAGCCGGGCGGAGCGGTGGCTCCCGGGCAGAGCGGCGGCTCCAGGGGCTCCCGGGCAGAGCGGCGGCTCCCAACACGGCCCAGGCAGCAACAGCGGCAGCCTTCGCGCCGCGCTCCTCCTCTCCCCGCCAGATTTAGCCCCATTGTTCGCGCTCCGGAGGGAGGACAGC